CATGCGCGCGCTCACGGGCGACGCGGACGCGCCCATCCTGGGCGTGATGATCCTCGCGGTCGTCGCGGGGCTCCTGGGCACGATCGTGACGTCGTTCATGATCGGCGAGATCGCGGCGATCCTGGGGAATTCGGACCCGGCGTCCATCGAGTACAAGAACACGGTCGACACGCTCAACGCGTTCGCGGTGGAAAAGAAGTTCCCCGCGGAGATGCAGACGAAGCTCCGCGAGTTCTTCGTGTCCGCGTCGTCCATGTTCCGCAACGTCTACTACCGGAAGATGCTGCTGAGCCTGAGCCCGGGCCTCCAGCAGACCATCGCCAAGGAGGAGATCGGCCGCTTCATCATGGCGATCCCCTTCTTCCGCTACGCGATCTGCCGCACGCTCGACATCAAGCGGGGCACGTCGGTGGACGTCGTCCAGAAGGGCGGCCCGCTCCGGCCGGCGACGGTGGACCGGCCGACGACGGAGGGCGCGTCCTTCGACGTGCGCTACGACGACGACTTCGAGCCCGACGCCGAGCGGCGCGTCGCGCACGAGCGCCTGGTCTACTTCCGGGGCCCGGAGTGCAAGCGCTGCGTCCACGAGGTCCAGATGATGGTGCGCGAGCTGAGCCTCCACATGCAGTGCGTCTCCTTCATGGCCAACGAGACCATGGTGCACCAGGGCATCTCCTGGAACGACGTGCTCTACATCATGGTCGAGGGCCGCGCGCTCGTCTACGACCAGGAGGACATCCGCATGGCGACGAAGGAGGTCGTCACGGACCGGTCGAACAACGTCATCGGCAGGGACGTCTGCACCTTGCTCGTCGACGGCAAGCGCCGCGTGCGAGACTACACGGCGAAGACGCTGTCGCACTCGCTCGTCTACTCCATGTCCGCGGACGAGTTCACCTACATGCTCAACAGCGCCCACTACCGCATCCTGCGCAAGGGCGTGCGCGCTTTCGGACATTGGATGATCATGAAATTAAACCTCAAGGCGCGGTGGTGCGACGGGTCGCTGGAGAAGATTTTGGACACGTCCAAGGTCGAGCGCGTCGGCGGCGGCAGCGACGCGAGCGACAGCGACCCCCAGCTCGACGAGTCGCCGCCGAAGCGGGCGCGCCAGTCGAACCGCGGCGCGACGAAGAAGGACGTCGCGCGCGTCGAGGACCGCGTCGCGGACGTGGAGCGCGGCCTCCGGGAGCTGAGCTCCAAGCTCGACATGCTCCTCACCCACGCGATCCGGGGCACGGGCTAACCCTCGCGGCGTTGGTTATCCCGCGCTCGTCTAGAGCTTGAAGATCTTGTCCGCGCCGGGCTTCTTGCGCTCGGGGAGCCGGTCGAGCTCCGCGGACGCGTAGAGCTTGACGAGGTTCTGGCGCCGCTCCGTGTAGCAGGACGGGAAGAAGTCCGGGAAGAAGCGCTGGATGGCGCCGAAGACGAAGACGTGGCCCACGGGCGTGAGCGGGATGAGGAGGATGACGACGAAGGGGATCGTCGTCGACAGGTCCTTGAGCGTCCGCCGCAGGACCCGCACGTCGCGGGGCACCAACGTCTCGCCCGAGAAGGCGCGCCCGATCAACGTCCAGCAGAAGGCGACGTCGTTGGCCAGGAGCCGCGACCCGTCTGCGTAGAACGCAAAGCCCCTCCGGATCTGCACGCGGATCGCCGCCAGGGCCTGCGACAGGTTGTCCACGAGCGCCGCGGACGACGACAGCAAGTAGTTCGCCGACGACGCCAGGGGCCCCGTGCCCGTGGCCTTGTTGCGCAGCAGCAGCCCGAGCGACGACGTCGGCATCGACTCGCCCGCGCCGTCGGCCTTGGTCCCCAGCCGCCCGAGCTGGTTCTCGTCGAAGATCAGCAGCAGGTCCGCGTCGACGAACTCGCCGGACGCGACCAGCGCGTCGTAGAAGGCCGACAGCGCGTCGAAGCGGTCCACGCCCAGGCGGCCGGAGAAGTCGCGGATCTCCTTCCCCAACATCTCGAACTCGGGCCGCAGGATCGCGACGCCGACGGCGCCGGCGTCGCGGCTCAGCGCCGTGAGCTGCGCGTCCAGCAGCGCGAACTCGGCGACGAAGCGCCGGTCGCTGATGTCCACGGACGCCGTCGACGCGTCGAGCGCGGCCTCCAACGCGGCGCACGCGCGCTCCAATTGGAGCTCGAGCCGCGCGGCGACGTAGTCGCCCTCGCGGACCTTGAGCTGCTTGTCCGCCACGCGGAACGCGGCGCGCACGCTGTCGCCGACGGCGGACGTCGGGCCCTTGTCCGCGACGACCGCGTCGACGGCCTCGCGGGCCGCGACCAGCGCCTTGGTGGCCGCGACCGCGCCCGCGGCCACGGCGAGCAGGCTCCGCTCGCGCCGGTCCTTGGAGCTGTCGGCGACAAACGGCGGCCGCGCCCCGTCCGGCGCCGCCGCCGACGACGTCTCCGCGGCGTCGTCGCCGACGCCGTTGATCCGCTTCCACAGGTCGACGCTAAAGGCCGTGGCCGCCTTGGCCCCCTGGAGCGCGCCCTCCCAGTCGACGGAGCCGTCCTGGCGCACGTAGAGCACGGCGCTCATGTTCTTCCCGGCGACGTCCTTGGGCGGGCCCCGGAGCGCGTACCACCCCAATTCGCCGACGGCGTCGCGCCGCCGCACGAACTCGACGCGGAAGTCGGCCCAGAAGCGGCGGTACTTCTCGACCTCGTCGACCTCGGCCGCATCGTCGACGTCGTCGTCGGGCGCCGTCTCCGGCAGGTGGAGCGCCGCGCGCGCCGCGGAGTTCGCGGCCGCCGCGGACAGCGCCGCGGCCGTATCGCGCGCGCGGCTCCGCAACGCCGCCAGATCCGACCGCGCGATCTTCGACGACCCGGCGCCGCTGTCGAGCTCGTCGATGCGGTTGTCGAGCTGCTCGCGCAGGCGCTCGAAGTCGACGAAGGACGCCGCGTCGTTCGACTCGCCCGAGAGCTCCAATCGCAAGGCGAACTCCGCGGCGACGAGGTCGTCGAGCGCCTGGCGCGCCCAGATGGAGTCGCGCAGGCGCAGCGTCCGCGACACGGGCTCCGCCGGCGACGGCCGCACCGCGCCGCCGGGCGACGCGGGGGCGACGGGCTCGTCGGCGGGCGCCGGCGCCTCGGCGACGCCGAGGTCCGACGCGACGCGCGCCGCGACCGGCGCCGCGTGCCAGCGGCCGCGCGGGAGCGGGGGCTGCGTCACGTGGAACGTGTTCGCCGTCCAGGCGAGGCCCAGCGCGAGGAGGACGCGACGCGCCGACATCGTAAGCCGCGTCTTCATGCCGGCGTGGCGCCCCGTCGATCGCGTCGATGTTGAACGACCTCAACGGCACCCATCGTCCGGCGCGCGCGCCGGGCAGCCCATCGCGCCGCCGCGGCCGTCGCGCGCCTCGCGCGTGCCGTCGCCATGGAGCTCCTGCTGGAGCGGACGGACCTCGTCCAGGTGGGCACGGTGTCCTACCGCAACACGATGAAGCTGATCAGCGGCGGCAAGAGCGGGCGCCAGCGCCTCGTCGTCGGCGACGACCTCGGCTACGTCGAGTGCTTCGAGATCAAGAAGGGCGAGCCCCAGTCCGTGTTCAAGCAGCGCGTGTCCACGGAGGGCCCCGTCATGGCCCTCGCCATCGGCGGCGTCGCGGGGAAGAACGACCGCGTCTTCGCCGCGCAATCGCAGACGATCGTCGGGTTGAAACGAAAGGGCGCGCAGTGCTTCAAGATGCAGAGCTCGCTCGTGGAGCCCATCCACCACATGGCCGTCGACGAGTCGCTCCTCTTCACGGGCTGCGAGTACGTCTACAACCGCTACGACGACGGCCGCGACGACGGCTTCTTCATGTGCCACGACAAGATCAACGCCATGGTCGTGCGGCCCAAGCCCGGCGGCGGCGGCCACCGCGTCGTGCTCGGGTGCCAGGATAGGTGCGTGCGCGTCGTCGTCGGGTCGGAGCTCGAGCGGGAGATGAAGATGGACGCGCCCGTGACCGCGCTGTGCCTCTACCGGGGCCCCGAGGGCGGCGCGGGCCCCGCGGCCGCGGACGGCGAGCACGCGGACCTGGTGGCGGCGGCGCAGGACCCGGCGGCCCTCGAGGTCTGCTTCGGCACGGAGTCCGGGGGCGTCGGGCTGCTGCGCATCGGGAGCGAGGGCAAGTACTCGGGCGTCGTCTGGCACGTCGAGGACACCAAGGCGCTCCACAGCCGCGTGAACTGCATCGACGTCTTCGACGTCACGCACGACGGCATCCCCGACGTCGTCGTCGGCCGCGCCGACGGCCGCGTCCAGGTCTACAGCTTCGACGTGTCGCCCGTGCCGCTCGTGCAGTTCGAGGCGAACCTCAACGAGGCGATCCACAGCCTCTGCTGCGGGTCCGTGAGCTCGACGGGCTTCGACGAGATCGTCTGCTGCACCTTCGCGGGGCGCGTCGCGTCCTTCAGCAACGAGCCGCTCCGCGAGCCCCGGAGCCCGGGCAGGGGCGGCGCGCCGGGCAAGACCGTCGCGGAGGACCGCACGGACAACCGCCTCGCGGCGCTCAAGGAGGACGTCGCGGCCCTCGCGAAGAAGATCGAGCGCGAGCGCGCGCGGTTCCAGGACCTGGACGCGCCCTTCGCGCCCTGCCGGCCCACGTTCGAGCCGCACGCGGACTTCTTCCTGGACCCGGAGGCCGCGTGCTACGTCGTCACCATCGAGCTGCCCGTGCCCGTGGACCTCGTGTCCGTCAAGTCGTCCGTGCGCGTCGAGCTTTTGGAGACGGCGCTGAACACGTCCATCGTGAGCCGGAGCCCCGTGGACCCGCGCCACGAGACCGCGAAGGAGCCCATCGTGCTCCTCGCGACGTTCCGCTGCCAGGAGGCGACGAACGCGCTGAGCTTCAAGGTGCGCACGGTCGAGGGCGAGCCGGGGGACATCGCCGCCGTCGTCGTCGCCCGGGGCACGCCCAAGTCCGCGCAGGTCGTCCACCTCCGCATCAAGGCGCTGTCGCTCCACCGCCGCATCCACGAGCTCAGCGACGACGAGGTCAGGCTGCCCAAGAACGTGCTCCGCCTCGAGGGCCGCTTCTCGGCGCAGCAGATCCACGACTGGCTCGGGGGCTGCCTCCCCGAGGTGCCCCCGCGGACGCAGCCCCGGGAGGTGTCGACGAAGCCCCCGGACGAGGCCGACGGCGCGAAGCCCGCGGCGGACGCGGAGGCGCCCGCGAAGCCCGCGGCGCCGGCGCCGGGCGCCGAGGCCGAGGGCGCGGAGCTCGTCGCCAAGGCCACCGGGTCGCTCGCGTCGCCGGACCGCGGCGGCGGCGAGGAGTTCGACGTCGACGGCGGCGGCGAGGCCAAGGACGCGGCGGGCGACGGGCCCGAGGCCAAGGACGAGGCCAAAGACGACGACGCGCCGCCGGCGTCGACCGCGCCGCCGCCGGAGGTCATGGCGCACCGCATGTGCTTCCGCAACGTCTACACCGCGGGCGTGCTCGAGTGCGACTACGAGGCGGGCCGCGCGCGCATCTGCTCCGACAGCATCAGCGCCATCACGATCCTCAAGGAGCACATCTCGCGCGAGGCCGTGCGCCTCCGCGTCGAGGTCCACGACACGATCTCCATCGACGAGCAGACCGTGGCCCACTTCCTCGCGTTGATGCACCCGAAGCTCGACCACCAGCTCAAGCTCGCGGAGCAGGTGCTGCTCATCGACGCCATCAAGGAGATCCACTCGTCGGAGGAGGACACGCGCTGGCTCTCCGAGGACTACAAGTTCATCCACGACCACGCGGAGGAGCTCCGCGCGGAGTTTGCGGAGAGCCCGACGTCGCTCCAGTACATGGCGGGCATCATCACGGACTTCTTCGTGGACCGCATGAAGTTCTGCGGCATCGACGCCCGCCACAAGATCCCCCAGCTCGAGAACCTGCTCAACGCGAAGAACTACGACTTCGACAAGCTCCTCGAGTTCTTCAACCCGGCCCTCCACCGCGGCTAGGGCCCCGGGGCGCGCCGGCGGTCCTCGTTACGCGCTAGGGGAGCGGCGGCGGGGGCGGCACGGGCGGCGGCGCGCCGGGCGGCGGGCCGAGCGCGGCGCCGAGCTTGTCCCGCGCGGCGGCGACGCGGTCCCGGAGGCTCGCGTCCGCGCGCCGGAGGTCCGCGAGGCGCTGCTTGATCGTCGCGTTCGACGTCGACGCCGCCAGGATGAGGTCCCGGAACGCGTTGGACCCCTCGGCGAGGGCCGCGCCGTCGACGACGCGCCGCGCGGCGTCGACGGCCTCGAGCGTCCTGAGCATCCAGTCGCGCGACGGCCGCGTCACCGGCGGCGCGACCATGGCCGCCTCGACGTCCTCGCAGAGCGTGACGGCGTCGGCGAGCTGCGCGTGGAACCGCTCGAGGTCGTCGGCGGGGCTCGCGGCCGCGGTCCGCGCGCGGCCGCGCCGCGCGTACTTGTCCACCGCGCGCTCGATGCCCAAAGTCCAGCCCCGGAGGTCGCGCGCGTCCGCCGCGCGCAGCTCCAGCGGCCGGTGCTTGAAGTAGTCCGTCTTCGCGTCGACCAACGGGTGGACCTCGAAGTAGTGCATGTCCTCGCCCTTGAGCGAGTCGCGGCGGCCGCCGCCGCGGAACGCCTTGCCGTCGGGCGACGCGACCTTCGTCGACTCCGTGAGCTTCCACGTGCCCTTGAGCGTCCGCCGCGTGTCGTCCGTGTAGTAGTGGAGCAGCGCGTTGTCCTCGTCGAGCGCGTAGTAGCGCTTCGTCCAGTTGCGCCGGCTGAAGAGCGCGCCCTCGCCCGAGCCCTTCTTGAGCAAGTAGCCGCAGGTCTTCAGGAGGTCCACGTCGCTCTCGAGGGCGTCGGCGTCCTCCTGGCCCAGCGCCAGCGCGGCCATCGTGTTGTGATGCGGCGGTAGCGGCGGCGACCACTGCGGGCGGCGGCGGCGGCGCGAAGCTTGGGACGACCCCCAGACTCTGTCGGGCTGCTTTGTTTGTTGGTGCCATCGTCAACATCTCAAGGTTGCATTTTTATAGTCGACGAGGTCGAGCGGTGGGGCAGCGTTTTGCCTTCCTTCGTACAACCACCCAGCCGCGCGCGTCGACGGCCGGTCCGCGACCCCGCGCCGCTTCTCGAACGCGAGCAAACCATGGTGCTGACCCTCGAGGACGTCCAGAATGGGCAGACCCTGGCGCCGTCGACGCTCCACATGAGCGACGAGGAGGTGCTGTGCGACGTGCGCGATTTTTTCGGCCGCAACCAGGAGTACGTGGACCGCTGCGACCTCGACGACGACTCGCGGGCCGCCATGACCCAGGCCTTCGTGGAGCTGCACCGCTACTACTACCAGGGCGCGCGGACGTCGTGGTCGAACCACCCGAGGGAGGGCGTGCTCGGCCAGTTCGGCCCGCCGCGGCCCTGGACGGGCCAGGACGTCGTCAACTGCATCCTCGCCTGCGGCCTGGGGCCGAGCCTCCGGACGAAGCTCGTCGAGGAGGAGATCTACCTCGAGGCGGCGCTGAAGAACGAGAGCCCCGTGACGTGGCTCGACACGGAGGACCTCGTCGACCTCCTCGGCGAGGACCTCAAGGGCGACGAGGCCAAGTTCCTCCTCGCCGTCAACTACATCAAGGGCTCGAACCGGTCCTCGTCCCGCAAGGCCTAGCCGCGGCGGCCGGCCGCGGGAGTTCGCCGCGCGCGCTGAGGGAGGACGCCGCCTCGCTGCCCCTGGGGAGCCGCGCGCGTAAGCAGGCGCGGCGGTGCTCGAGTGGAGCGCGCGCGTCATAGTGGGCCTGTCGAGTCGTCCGAAGCTTTACGCCGCGGCACCTCCGCGGGCGCTACGGCTTCGGCGCCGCGGTCGGCGCTTTCCGCATGACCGTCGCCTCGGTCAAACTGCCCGCCGGTTGGAGAGGATAGTCGGGGACCTCCATCTTTGGTCGCGGGAGTTTCGACAGGTCGCAGTCCATCGAGCCCTTGAGCGCGGCGATATCGTCCTCGAGCTGCTTCTGCTGCTCCGGGTCCCTCGCCGGTGCGCCCTCTGCAGGCTGCGGCGGCGGCGCGAAGATGTCGGGCAGCGGCTCCATTTGCACACGCGACGACGGCAGCAGGCTCCGCGACGACTATGACGGCGCCGCGCACCGCCGGGCAGCCCTTGCGGTCAAAACTTCAATTTTGAACGGTGAAGCTGAGCCGAGACTCGGCCTGCGAGGGTGGGCATCTCCAGGGCGGGCCCCAACAATTCGAAATGACGGTGGTCTATGACGCAACGAAGGGCCGCTCGGTCGTCGCGCCCGCGGCGCAATTGCCACCCTTGGTTTTCAAGGTGCGCGGGCGCATCCGGAACCGTTCGTTAGGATTAGACGAAGACAAGCGCGGCGATTTCGAGCTGAAAGTGATGAATTCCGCGGGCGCGCTGCAGCCGGCGGCGTCGTTTCATCAGTTCATGCGCGTGGTGCTCACGGACGTCGTGGAGGCGTACAAGGTCAAGGACCGCGAGCTGCGCCAGGAGGCCGAGGACGAATGGGACAGCGACGAGGATGAGATCTCTGCCGCGGTCCGGCGTGCCCGTTCTTTGGACGTCTGGGACAATTTCGACACCATTGAGGAATTCAAGCGGGACGTGATGTTCTCGATTCTTCCCCGACTCAGCGCTCCGTGGCCATTGAAAGAGATGTTCGAGGGCCTGGACGCGTGGATCCTCGACAAGCTCCTCAAGGAAGTGGCGCCGCGCCGCCGCGAGGCTGTGATGCTCCGGCTTGTCGTCTTGTACATCCCGAAGCTGGCTGGCGTCTCGCATTTCTTCGAGGGATTCATCCCGACGATCGGCGTCATCCCGTCGGTCCAGAGCCTCTTCCGGTTCATGCGCGATCTTAGAAAAGGGTACCACGACTACTCGGACGGTTTGGAGCCCGGTCCGGAAGACATCCATGATTTCGACACCACTTTATACAAATCCGGAAACATCCAGGGCTGGCTCGAGTACTACGCGTCCCACGTCCGCTGGAGCTGCGCGCCGCCCGGCGGCCCGCACGCCGACTCGTCCGACGACGAGTCGTCCGACGACGAGTCCGGGTCGTCCGACGACGAGTCCGGGGCCGACTAATCCGACTCGTAAGGAGCTCGCGATGTTGTAAGCATATTTGACGTTAAAACAAAGAGAACGGGTGCGGGATAGTGTCGCAGCGAGTCGGGGGGACGATGCGGGCGGGGGTGGTACCGGAACGCGAACTAGTTGAGGCGCCGGACGGGCTCGAGCTCGAGGGCGGCGACGGAGAGCGTCGGCTGGGTCTCGTCGTCGGGGAACTCGGCGTCGCGCGTCCTCGCGGACGTCGGCTTCGGTGGCCTCGCGGCCTCGGCGACGGCCGCGGGCGGCGCGCGGCGCTTCGGCGCCGCGCCGCAGGGCCTGCAGAAGACCGTGGGCCGCGGGTAGAGGACGCCCTGGGCCGGCACGAAGGGCGCGCCCGCGCGGTTCGCGAACTCGACGGGCAGCGTCCGCGTCACATAGCGGAGCTGGGGCCCGTACTTGAAGCTCAGCGGCGTCTCGACGCGCGCGAGCCGCGGCGTCGCCGACTTGCGCAGCTCCCGGAGCTGGGCGTCGAGCGTCTCGACGTCGGCGACGGCCGGGTGCGCGGCCAGGGAGACGAAGACCGCGCCGCCGTGGTCCGCGAGCGCCTGCTTCAGCCACGCGCCGTGCTCCTTGGACACCAACACGCAGGGGATCGCCGACGGCCGCTCGCAGCCGCCCATGGCGAAGACCTCGGGCCCGCTCCGGTTGTTGGCGACGATGGCGGCGACGGCGCCGCGCTTCGCGAGCTGGTCGACCTTCTGCGCGAAGGAGCACGCGGGGTCGCGGTCCGCCAGCGCGACCTGTGTGGAAATCAACCGCTGGTTTGGGACGTCCCGACCAAACTTTGGAATTCTCTAGCTCGGTCACATCGAAGTCGATTCGGCTGATTTTTGGACGAGTCGTTTGCTCTCAGCGAGTTCTCGAAGCACAGCGGAAGTGCACGTGTCAACACATTCGAATACGCGCACATTGAAGTCGAGTTGAAGATTTGATTTGCACGCGGAACGCGACGAAGAAGTTCGCGGGCCGCTTCTTCGACGACGGCGCGGGCGCGTTCTTCTCCTCCTCGCGGCTCGGGTGCGCGCTCTCGGACTGGGCGGCCTCGTAGCGCAGGACGCAGGCCATGGACCCCTCCCGGGGCAGGAGGCAGGAGAACGCGGCCGCGACGCTCGGCACGAGCCGCGCGAGCGACTTCGGCTCCACGACCCGCAGCCGCGACGTCTCCTCGGGCAGCAGGTTCACGACGTCGAGGTGGAGGTGGGGCCCGCCCGTGTAGCCCGTGTTGCCGCTGAACGCGATGTGCTGGCCCGCCTCCACGCTGTCGCCGACCTTGAACAGGCTCCCGTCGGTCCGCAGGTGGTAGTAGCGCGCGTAGGAGCCGTCGTCGTGGCGCACGGCGACGAAGTTCGCCCGCGGCGCGAGGTGCGCCTTGGCGCCGCCGCCGCTGAAGTGCTGCACGACCGCGGCGACGACGCCGCCGCGGACCGCGTGCACCGGCGTGCCCACCGCGAGCTTGAAGTCGAAGCTGTAGCAGAGCGTGCCCCGGTGCGTGCTCGCGCCTGAACGAATCGCGCGCTCGCGCGCGGCGGCGCCGCGCGCGCGGGCGCCGGGCGACGCGCCGTTGACGCCCTGGATGCAGCGCCCGTGGCCGCTCATGAGCCGCCAGGCCGCCTGCGGGGGACGGCGGGGCGTCGGGGACGCGGCGCGCGGGGCGACGTCGCACGAGTCGGCCCGGGTACGGCAGCGTGAGGTTGCAGAGGGAGTCGGCGCCCAGCAGGTCCGCGATGGCCGTGCCGGCGCGCCCGCTGGGGCCCATTCTGCGTAGCAGATAATATGGCTGCGGTAAGGCCAGTGGCAAGGCTGAAGCAGTACCAACCTCTTGTTGCATTTTTGACACAGCGGCAGTCTCCGAAGCTCGATCAAGAAGCGTGCTGTCAAGCCCAGCGACATAATGTCAGAAACCAATCGCAACGTTTTACGCTAGCCCGAAGCTCATACGCTGCCAGCACGCCTCGTCCGCCACCTCGCCTCGCCTCCTAGCCGCAACCCGCGGTCCCGAAACCGCTCTGCTCCGATCTCTCTCCGAAGCGGCCGAAGCCGGCCAGAAGAAACGCGTGGTATCCAGCCCGAAGCACGGCAACATGCCCAACCAGGTGACGCGCGCGCGCCGGCGGCGCCTCGACAACCTGTCGCGCCTCGAGACGGACCTCGCCGAGTCGCCCGGCGCGCTGGCGGCCCTCGCGGAGACGCTCGAGCGAGGCGTGCCGAAGCGGAGTCATCGCGGCAGTGGCAGCCACAAGAAGCCGAGCAAAGATTTGTGGCGAACGAAATTGTGCAGCGCCTTTGAGGCGACGGGCGCCTGCCCCGACGGCGCCCAGTGCACCTTCGCCCACGGCGCGGCGCAGCTCCGGCGCCGGTCCGCGGGCGTCTGCGCGCGCGTCTCCGACGACGCGGCGGCCGTCGGCCCGACGCGCTGGACGGTGCACGCGGGCGAGCAGGGCGGCTGGGGCGCCGGCGGCGCGCCGCCGAGCCCGCCGGCCCTCGCGCGCGTCGACTCGAGCGACCTGTCGACGGCGCTCGAGCGCGTGCGTTCCATCACGATCGACGAGGCGGAGCTGACGCTGTCGCCCCACGCGCGGGCCTTCTCCATGCCGGAGCCGGCGCACGCCGTCACGCCCGACGGGTCGCCGCGCCTCGCGGGCTTCCACCGGTCGCGGCCGCCGTCGCCGCCGCCGTTCTCGCTCGCGCCGCCGGCCAAGGCCGCGCGGACGCGCGGCGACGGCCGGCTCGTGGGCACGGTGGTCCACCTGAGCCGCAAGCTCTGCGGCACCTTCGACACGGTCGACGAGGACGGCGTCGCCGTGACGCGCTTCAACGGCTGGTACGGCTTCGTCCGCCCGGACGAGTCGACGCTCCGCGACGAGGGCTTCTGCCGCGGCGACCTCTTCCTCCACCCGTCGGACGCGCCCGCGGCGTGCGCGCCGGCGCACCGGCAGCTCTTTTTTTCGCGCCTAAAACCCCCCGCGCAGGTACAACCCCCAGGTCGGCGACCGCGTCTCCTTCCACCTCGGCGTCCACGACCGGCGCCTCAAGGCCGCGGACCTCCGCCCCGTCTCCGACGACTCCGACGAGGACGGCTCGGCGACGGCGTCGCGGTCCCGCCGGGACTCCTGGGACTCGCGGGACGGCTCGCCGCGCCCCGGGCCGTCCCGCTCCTGGGACGCGGAGAGCTCGCCGCGCCGCGGGCCGTCCCAGTCCTGGGACACGGACAGCCTCCAGTCCTTCGCGTAGCCATGCCCGGGTTCGAAGAGCCCGCGCATTGCAACGCGACGTCCTTAAGCCTACGCTCACTTGCCCGCGGCGATGATCTTGCAGTACTTCTTGTGCGTCGTCCAGTGGGCCTTCTGACACGTCGCCGAGCAGTAGCGCGTCGTGCGGCAGCGCGAGCACGCGTGCAACTTGGCGCCGGGCGCGGCGACGGCGCCGCAGGTCTCGCAGGTGACCGCGTCGGGCGCGACGTCCCGGCCCTCGGCGTCCACGTTCGAGGAGTAGTCCCCGCGGACCCGGGACTCGGCGCGCTGCGCGGCGATGGCGTCGCGCGCGCGCGTCTTGTCCCGCTCGTAGGCCTCCGCCGACTCCGACGGGATGCCCTGCATCCGTTCCAGGTTGCTCGCCTGCCCGACGTCCTTGACGCCCGTGCCGTGCTTCTTGATGAGCGCGTCGGACTCGTCGGCCGTCGTGGGCACGTCGGGCGTCGGCGCGAGACCCAGGGCCTTGAGCCGCTTGATCACCGCCGCGTGGTCGCCCGTCGTCCCGAGCTGCTGCTGCTTCGACATCATCAGCTGCATCTTCTGCATCTCGCTCGCCCTCGCGATCATCTCGTCCGCGCGGTCGTGGTAGTTCTTGCCCACGATCGCGGCGTCGAGCGCGTTCATCGCGGGCATGGCGTAGTGGCCGCCGGTCTTGGTCATCTTGAAGGCGTCCGCGCCGCGCTCCACGAGCAGGTTGACGAACTTGATGTGGCCGTGCGCGGCCGCGAGCACGACGGGCGGGCGGCCGCCGTTGTTCTCGCGCGCGTCGATCTTCGCGCCGGCGTTCAACAGTAGGACGGCGATCTCGTGCGCGCCGTTCTGCGCGGCGTGGTGCAGCGGCATCATGCGCGCGCTGTCGGTCGTCCGCGCGTTCGGGTTCGCGCCGGCCTTCAGCAGTTGCCGCACCATTTTCGTGATGCCGGGCATGACGTGGTTCTGCGCCGCGTAGTGCAGCGCGATGGCGCCGTCGAAGTCGCAGCCCTCGTTCGGGTCCGAGCCGGAGGCGAGCAGGCGCGTGAGCTGGTTGGGGTCGTTGTTCTTGACCGCCTCGCAGAGCGGCGTGCCCTGGACGCCTCCCATCGCTGGTGTGTGTATGTGCGGCGTGACTCGGCAGCTGTGCGACGGCGCGGGGTGCTGTGTGTGTGCGACGGTGGTGCGTCACAGTGGCTCGGCAGCAGCTGTGCGACGGCGGGGGTGCGGATGGCAACGAGGGGCCTGGCACGCGACGAGGCACCGCGGATCTCGCAGGCCTGCAGGATTAGACCTCGTCGTCTGCGGCAACGTCGCAAGTTGAAGCCTCTCCTTGAACTAATGCTGCCGTTCTAGGGCCTCGGCCCGCACGAGCCCGGTCGGCCCTTGGAGCCTCAATCCCCCAGAGACTAGTCGGAGCCCTAGTAGTCGGCGTCCGAGTCATCCGAGTCGGACGAGTCGACGTGCGGGCCGTCGGGCGGCGCGCAGCTCCAGCGGACGGCGCCGGACTCGTAGTACTGGAGGTAGCCGCTGGCATTTCCGTCTCTGCGTAGCTTGGTAATGTAGTCATCGACATCGTCCGGATCGGCTTCCATGCATTCCATGCTGTCGCGGTACCCTTGGCTAAGGGAGCGCAAGCACCCGTTGAGGTTCTTGACCGTTGGGACGACGCCGATCATCGGGAGGAATTCCTCAAACAGGTGCGACACGCCAGCCAGCCTTGGGACGTTCGAAACGACCAGTCGAATCATCACAGCCGCGCGGCGGCGCCGCGCCACCTGCTTGAGGAGCTTGTTGAGGATCCACGTGCCCAGGCCCTGAAACATCCCTTCCAGCGGCCACGGAACGCGGAGTCCGGGGAGAACCGACAGCATCACGTCCTGCGTGAAGTCATGGATGGTTTCGAAGTTGTCCCAGACGTCGTCGCCGTCCTCGGCCTCCTGGCGCAGCTCGCGGTCCTTGCGCTTGTACGCCTCCACGACGTCCGTGAGCACCACGCGCATGAACTGATGAAACGACGCCGCCGGCTGCAGCGCGCCCGCGGAATTCATTACTGTTAGCTCGAAATCGCCGCGCTTGTCTTCGGCCTCCATCAAAGCATAGGGATGCTGAAGGCGCCCGCGCACCTTGAAAAGCAAGGGCGGCAATTGCGCCGTGGGCGCGACGACCGAGCGGCCCTTCGTTGCGTCGTAGACCACCGTCATTTGAATCGCTTGGGGTCGGGTCGCGGCCGGCACCGGCTCGGTCGCGCGCCGCGCTGGCACCAGTGCGCGCGCCGGCCAAGCCTTGACTCGGCTCCAGCCCGAAGTCCACTGGAGATCTGCATCAACAACCGATTGAACCAAAGATGCCGTCCCCAAAAATTATCCACGCCCGCCAAGCCCCCAAAAGAAAGCCCAAAAAAAAAAAACAAGAAAGCCAGCCTAAAGGTCCGGCCCGACGGCGGGCATGGGCGCCTCGTCGACGGCGCACTCCGTAAAGTAGGCGAGCTCCGGGAAGTCGGCCGCGAGGTAGTCGTCGTAGCCGCCGCGCCGGTAGATCTTCTGCGGGTCCGGCCCGTTGCCCCAGGGCGGCATGTCGCCGTAGGGGTTCGCGAGCTTGGGCAGCACGTCGCGCACCGCGCCCGGGTCGCAGACCGCGAACGGCGTCTCCCACGGGTTCGTCCCGAAGTGGTCGAGCTGGTGCTTCGGCGTGTCCGGCATCACGAAGAACATCTCCGTCGACCGGCTGTCGGGCCCGGAGCCGGCGTAGGCGATCATGCCCGCCTCGAAGGGGATGCGCTGCTTCGGGTCGTCGGGGATGTTCGCCGTGCGCCACCGCGTGCGCGTCTCGTAGTCCTTGGAGATGCCGAACTGCGCGAGGAACCGCGGCACGACGCGGTTGATCGCCGCGCCGTCGAAGTACTTGCGCCGCACCAACTCCAAGAATCGCCCCGCGCCGCGCGGCGCCCAGTCCGGGAACACGCTGATTCCTATGGTCCCGACGGTCGTGCCGCAGGCGACGCGCACCGTGCCCGTCTTCGTCAGACTATAGAACGTGCGGTCGCCGCGGATCGTGACCTCGCCCTGGTCGTAGGTGAACGTGTGGCCCGCCCAGGTGTCCTGGTGGAGCTCGCCGCCGTAGGCCGGCACGCGGCCGACGCCGGTCGCTTCCTTCGTCTCCGGATGCACCCAGGCCAGCTCCGCGTCGACGTCCATCTCGTTGCGAAAGGTCACGCCCACCTTCTGGGATTCGACCAGCGCCAGGCACGATGCGACCAGGCAGCCCCAATGCATGGCCATCGGCACTCGTCGGAGCGCGAGGAAGTGCTCGTTGAAGCGTTGAAGTAGCACAGTCGTGATGGTGGCAAAAATGCGCCGCGCCAAGGTGCTGTTCTTGCTCACAACATGCGCGGCCTTCCGCGGCCCGGCGCCGCGCCTGCCGCGGCGCGTCGCACCGCTCAAAGCGATGAAAGCGACACCTGTCGCGCGCGCCATCCACCGCATCGACGACACGACCCAGCGCTGCGCGGCGTCCCGCGGCCGCGTTTCGAGAGCTTTCGACCGGGGAAACGACACCACCTCGTAGGCGCTGCGTCGTCGCGACGCGCGGCTGGCCCGTCGCCGCCAAATTCGCGACGCTGCTGGCGTTGTACGCCGCGCACACGCTCCTCCTGTCGCGCGGCTGCCTGCCGCTGCCGTGCCAGCTCGTCCCCAACGACTTTGGCCTCTGGCAGAGCGTCGGCTACGACAGCCTCGTCGGCGGCGCCGTCGTCGCGCTCCGCGCCGCGCACGTCGCCGCGCGATCTCCCGCGAAGCGGCCGCCGCCGCCGCGGCCGAAGTTGCCGTCGCGGCGGCGCCTCGCGGCCACGATCCTGGCCCTGGCCTTCGCCTACAACTTCAGCGGCTACGCGGCCTGGGCGAGCGACGAGTGCCTCTACGAGCTGTCCCTGCGCGGCGCGCACGTCTCGACGGCCATGCGGCGGGCAGTCCAGGTCCTCAGCGGCCACCTCGCGTGGGTTTTGTCGGGCGCGCTCATCCTCCGGGCCGGCGCGAAGAACTTCTTCGCGCGGGGCGAGCACCGCTGGTTCGACTTTAACGTCGACGGCGACTGGCTCTGGTGGGTCGCCGGCGGCTACGCGGCGTCCGCGCTCGCGTTCAACGTCGCCGACGGCCTCAACCACTTCGTCGTGCCGTCCGTGCTCTTCGACGACGACACGCTCGTGACGCGCATGATCAACCCCGAGGACAACGACGTCGTCGCGCTCGTCGCGGGTAGCATCGCGCCCTGCGTCACCGCGCCCGTCTGGGAGGAGGCGCTCTACCGGGGCTTCCTGCTCAAGGCCCTGGTCCCCTTCGCGGGGCCCGCGGCCGCGCTGCCGCTGTCCGCGGTGCTCTTCGCCGCGCACCACCTCACGCTCACCGCGGCGCTGCCCCTCGCGGTCTTGGGCGGGCTCTGGGGCCACATCTACGTCGCCGCGCGGCAGAACCTCCTCGTGCCCGCGCTGATCCACGCGCTCTGGAACGCGCGCGTCTTCCTCGGCGCGCTGCTCGGGCTCTAACGCGCCGTCGATCGTTAGAGGACGAAGGGCGCGTCGTCGCGGTCCTCCGTGAGCTCCCAGGCCGGCTCCGGCGCCGGCGCGTCCTTCTTCTTCTTTTTCTTCTTCTTCTTCTTCTTCTCCGACGACGGCGGCGGCGGCGGCGCGTCCGCGCCCCGGACGGGCGACGGGTGGAACGGCGCGCGGCCGTCGCGCGCGTCCTCGCCGCCGTCGTAGGCCGCGCGCGCGGGCGCGAGCTCGTAGGACCGCGCCGGCGGCGCCGGCGGCGGGTAGGCGTCGCCGTAGCGGTCGTCGCCGCCGCCGACCCAGCGGTCGCCGCGGCCCGCGAAGTCGCGCGCCTCGACTCGCGGCGCCGCGGCGCCCGGCCAGCCCGGCGCGCAGCCCGCGTCGACGGGCGCCGGCAGCGCCGGCGGCGCCTCGCCGGCGTCGGCGGCCTCGAGGGACATCTCCTTCTCGAGCTGCTCCCAGCGCAACCTGGGCAGCAAAAGGGTGCGAAATTCCCAACTTCAAAGGCTCCGATCTCGGCCGTTTTCCGCTCGTTTCGGCTGATTTTTGGACGAGCGATCATCTCTCGGAGCGCTCTCGAAGCGTGGGTGCTTTTTTCCGGAACGCGCGCGCGCGGAACACTCACGTTGAAGCGACGTTGAATCACCCTTTTCCTGCCCTGAGCGCAACCGCCGCTTCTCGTCGTGCTCGCGCTCGCGGCGGTGCAGGTAGAACGCCGCGTAGCAGACGCCGCAGGCGACGACGACGCACGCGACGCCCACGAGGATGAGCAGGCTCCCCGACGCCGCGTCGGCCCCGTCGTCGTCGTCGTCGTCCGGCGCCGCGGGCGTCGGGGCGCCCGACGGCGCGGCGTCCGCGACGCACGTCGCGTACTCGACGAACGCGCCCTCGACGCAGCGCGTGATGCCCGACGCGACGTAGCCGTCGTCGCAGTCCACGTGGCAGCCGTTGCCGCTGTAGAGCGTGTCGCCGGGCTCGCAGAAGGCCGACGCGTACGCGCCGTTCGTCGGGTGCGCGAGCACGAGGCACGTCGACGACTCGGCGAAGAACTGGGACGCGTCCTTCTGGTCCAGGCCCGTGACGGCGTAGTAGTCCGTCATGTCGCAGCAGGCGTAGGTCATGTCGTTCGCGGTCAGGTAGGCGTCGGACGTCGTGAACGAGAGCAGCGCGCTCGACCCCTCCTGCCGGCTCAGGTCCGCGCGGAAGCAGAAGAGCGGGCCCGTCGTCGAGATGACGACCTCGTCGCCGTCGTCGCAGCGGTCGTTGCCCATGCCGCAGGTGTAGTCGAAGATCTGCGTGTGGTAGTGGTACGTCGCCCCGAGGTCGACGCCGTACTCGTCGGTCGTCGACTCGTCGTGCGTGTGGCCGCTGCACTCGTCGAGGAGCGGCGCCGCGAAGCCCGGCGCGTCGTCGCCGAGGTAGCGGCCGTAGATGAGGTGGCCGTCGGCGCCGAAGCCGACGATGGGCGGGTGCGACGCCGTGGACGTGTAGTTGGACGTGCCGTAGAGGCACTGGTGGCTGTCGCTGAAGAGGTCGCCGTGGACGTGGGGTTGGCCCGCGCCCTGGCCGACGTGGAGGTTGCAGGGCGACGTCTCGCAGGTCGGCTGGTTCCACTCGCCGCGGTTGTTCTGCGTGACCCAGTTCTGCATGCCGTTGACCGTGATGCCGACGCCCGCGCCGTCGGGCAGGCCGTAGGTGCCGATGCCGAGGCCGTCGTCGTAGAGGTAGGGGATGCCCTCGTTGCCCGCCGTGCCGTCGAAGAGGTCGACGTTGTTCGTCCAGACGCCCTCGTCGAAGTCGACGACGTCGAGCGGGTACTGGAGGCTGTAGTAGCGGTCGACGGTGCGCGTCGGGTCGCCCGTGCAGTAGGTCACGCCGCCGGACACGCCGAGCGGCGGGCTCGGCACGTTGTTCAGGTGCGGCTCGAAGACGCCGCCCTCGCCGGAGGTCATGAGGATGAGCCACTTGTCGTTGCAGAAGGCCCACTTGATCGACGGGCCCTGGACGACGCGCTCGAGGAACGCGCCGTCGCAGACGCCGTCCGTGCGCTGCGTGCACGTGTCGTCGCAGGGGCCGTTGAAGCCCCAGTCCGTGATCTCGTCGTAGTCGCTCATGTCCAGGAACGACGTGCAATCGGAGCCGTCGGCCGCGTAGTCGGACCGGTAGGCGCCGGCGACGCCGTCGACGACCGGCGGGCCGCCGCCCTCGTCGGAGCAGGTGATGTACTGGTTCCGGCACGTCGGCGCGCCGCAGTAGCCCCAGCCGCCCTCCTCCGTCGGCGCGTAGCACTCGGAGCTGTCGAGGGCGTAGGTGTTCGTCATCTGGCTCGACGCGGTGACGCTCCCGTCGTCCGTAACGGTGGCGCCGTTCGCCGACGACGTCGGCTCCGGCGCGGGGTTCGCGGTGGAGGGGTTCGCCGTCGGCGCCGGCGCGGGGCGCGCCGTCCTCGGTTCCGGCTTCGCCGTCGACGGCTGCGGCGTCGGCGGCGACGGCGTCGGCGGCGGCGACGACGGCGGCGGCGACGACGGCTTCGCCGTCGGCGGCGCGGGCCGCGCCGTCGACGGCTCCGGCGCCGGCGCGGGCGTCGGCGACGGGTCCGCCGGTTGCGTCTCCGCCTCGAGCGCGGCGAGCGATTCGGTGACGAGCACGGCGTCCGAGAGCTGGCTGTCCTCGATGTAGTCGAGGGACTCGTAGGCCCGCGCGGCCGCGAAGACTTCCGCGCTCAGGGTCCCGTCGTTGACCGCGGCGGCGAGCTCGGCCTCCAGGGCCTCGGCGGCCGCGGCCGCGTCGTCGCCGGACGTCTCGAGGTCCGCGCGGGCCTCGAGGCGCGTGTCCTCGGCGTCCATCGGGTTGCCCTCGAGGCGCCGCGCGTCGGGGACGGCCTGCGACAGTTCGCCGAGCTCGACGGCGACGAGGCTCCTGGCCGCGTCCGACGACGCGACCAAAGCCTCGCCGACGGCGGCCGCGAGGTCGTTGGACGTGTAGACGCCGAAGTCGACGACGACGACCGTGGAGACGACGTAGAGGCCCGCGGCCGTCGGCGCGGCCGACCGCGCGGCCGACGGCGCGTAGGTCGTCGCCGCCCCCGTCGGCGCGGCCGCCGCGGCCCCGGCCGTCGGCGCGGCCGACGGCGCCGCGGCCTCGACGGCCAGCTTCATGCCCGAGGTGCAGTGGCTGCCCACGGAGCACGCGAAGTAGCGGACCTCCCCGGGCTCGACGGCCGCGGCGACGGGCGCCACGTCCCCCAGCGCCGTCGCGTCGGCGAAGTCGCAGGAATCGAAAGCGTCGGCGTCCGGGAGCTCGTGGACCGTGTGCGTGCCGCTCGCCCAGTCGAAGCGCACCGTCGCGGGCGCGTCGACGGTGAGCGAGCACGACGGCGAGCCTGCGTGGAATTCAACCACTGGTTTGGGTGGTCCTGACCAAACTTCAGAATTCTCTAGCTCGGTCAAATCGAAGTCGATTCGGCTGATTTTTGGACGGATCGATTGCTCTCGTCGAGTTCTCGAAGCACAGCGAAAGAGTCCGGCGCAGTCCGTTCAATTACGCGCACATTGAAGTCGGGTTGAAGATTTGAATTCCACACGACGGCGCGCAACTCCAGAAGACGACGTCCGGCCATTCGACGACGACATCCCCCACGACCGTCGGCTCCGCGGACGGGGGCGCCGACGACGGCCCGTAGGTCGACGGCCCGTAGGTCGGCGCGCGCGACGGCGCGCCCGCCGCGGCGGTCGGCGCGGCGCTCGGCGCGGCCGCGGCCGCGCTCGCCGACGGCGGCGCCGTCGCGTCGCAGGACTCGCAGGCGACGGCGCAGGCGTCGCCGCTGATGGCATCGTCGTAGCCGACGACCTCGCAGCGCAGGTCCGGGTACGCGGCCACCCACGCGCAGTCCTTCCACGGCGCGTTTTTCTTGTACCAGTCGCTCCGGTCCGTGCAGGCCGTCGGCGCGGCCGTCGGCGCGCCGTAGGCCGCGGCGCCGCCGGCGACGCAGACGGCGACGCCGCAGGCCGCCGAGCCGCAGGCCGCCGAGTTTGCTAGCGACGCTTCGGCGTCGACGGAGATGCCCGATACGGCCAGGCCGTAGCAGCCGTCGGGGAGGCACGCCTCGACGACGCCCGCGGCTTCCGGCGCGATCTCGAACACCAGCGCGTCGTCGGAGGAGACGACGACGGACGCGTCGGCCCAGTCCGCGCCCGTCATCTCGAGCTCGTAGACGAAGTCGCCGCACGCGCCCGTAGGCTCGGCGGTCGGCGCGACCGACGGCGCGAGCGACGGCGAGAGCGACGTCGGCCTCCGCGACGTGGGGCCACCGCTCGGGGGCGCCGACGGCGCGGCCGCGGGCGCCGTCGACGTCGGCGCGGGCGACAGCGACGGCGAGAGGCTCGGGTCGCCGTACGCGGCCGGGTCCCGCGCGTTCGCGGCCGCGCCCCTGGCGCCGGAGCCCGCGGGGCCGACGTAGGCCAGGACGCCGGACGCGTCGCAGGTCCCGACCCAGCAGCCGTCGCCGACCGTCAGCGGGAGGCCGAGCTCGTAGACGCCGACTTCGTCGGCGACGGCGAAGAAGCGCGACGCGGCGCCCGAGCCGTAGGAGAACGCCGCGGAGTACGACGCGTTCGCGCCCCCGCTCAAGGCGACGACCGCCGTCGCGTTGTCCGCGAGGCGCACGACGAGCAGCGCCCCGCCGCCCGCGGCGACGCCCGCGAGGTAGTCGCCCGCCGCGCCGTCGACGACGGCGTCGTCGCCGCCGCCGTCGAGGAGCGGCGCGAGGTCGTACACCGGCGGCGCGTCGACGTCGACGACGATGACGCCCTCGACGAAGACGGCGTCGTCGCCGTGGATGGCTTCCACGCGGTGGATGGCGCCGGGGAGCGCGGCGGCGTAGTAGTAGGTCTCGCCGACGACGGTCGCCGCCGCCGGCGCCTGCTCGTCGAGGTAGTTGTAGAAGCAGGTCGCGTGCGAGTCGTCGAAGCGGCAGAGCCGGTTCCCAAAGGCGCCGAAGAGCATGCAGCCCTCCCGCGACTCGTAGAGCGCGAGGCCGCCGAGGCTCCGCGTGTAGTAGGGCACGTCGAATTTCGCGCCGTAGTCGCCGGAGCCGCCGTGCAACTCGACGACCGCGTGGCCCTCGTCGTCGTCCGCGAAGCGCAGCGGCAGCACGGCGCAGTCCGCGGCCTCGACGCTGAGGTCCGACCAGCAGAAGCCGCACTCGTAGGGCGTCGGCGCGGCGGACGGGGCGGCTTCCACGGGGCTCGCGGACGGCGGCGCCGTCGGCCCGTGCGTCGGCGCGGCGGACGGCGCGACGCTCGCCGAGGGGCCGTAGGTCGGCGCCGCCGTCGGCGCCGGCGGCTCGGCGGACGGCGCCGGCGTGTCGTAGTAGCCGAAGGGGCAGTTCATGCCGTCGTTCGACGTCGCCTCCGCGGAGTTGGACGTCCGCTCGAGCGCCGCGCGCGCGCCCGCGCACGCGCTCTGCGCCGCCGCGTCGAAGCCCGTGTTCCAGCAGTCGTCCGGCACGGCGACGGGGAGTTTGAGCCGGAAGATGCCCCAGCCCTCGTTCGACGCGAACAGCACGTCCGGGAGGCCCGCCGTGACGTAGAGGAACGCGGCGCCGTAGGCGCTCTTGTCGTCGCGCGCCGGCTCGTCGCCCCAGTCGACGTCCGACTCGAGCACGGCGAAGTCCTCCGGGTAGCCGTCGTCCGCGAGGCGCACGATCAAGAGCTCGAAGCGCTGGCCGAGGCCCACGACGTACGCGCCGCCGTCGACGCCGTCGTCGACGATCGTGAGGGAGCCGCCGTCGTCGCCCGTCGGCTCCCGCAGGGCGACGACGTCCAGGACGCTCCGCTCGTAGAGGTCCTCGGAGATGACGAAGCGCAGCTCGTCGTGGAAGACGGGCGCGCCGTTGATCCGCTCGACGAAGTGGAAGCCCTTCTCGCCGCCGTAGCCCGGCTCCTTGGCGTAGTAGAAGTGCTCCGCGCCGTCGTCCTGCCGGAGGATGGCGCCGACGTTGGGCTTCGCGAGGGCGAGTTCCTCGAAGCAGCGCGTCTTCGCGGCGTCGAAGACGCAGAGCCTGGCCAGGTCGTCGCCGTCGCCCGTGAACGCGCCGACGAGGTAGTGGTCGCCCGCGTCCGAGATGCCCATGGCGACGGCGTTGACGTGGCCGTCGAAGTAGCTCAGGTCGAAGAGCTCGGCGTAGTCGCCGCTCTCGACGTCGAGCTCGAAGACGCCGTAGGGCCTGGGCAGGACAAGGGTGATTCAACGTCGCTTCAACGTGAGTGTTTCGCGCGCGCGCGTTCCGGAAAAAACATTCACGCTTCGAGACCGTTCCGAGAGATGATCGCTCGTCCAAAAATCAGCCGAAACGAGTGGAACACGGCCGAGAAAGGAGCCTTTGAAGTTGGGAATTTCGCTCTCTTGTCCTGCCCTGCGTAGGGCTCGTCGTCGCCCTCGCGCATGACCTGGAGCGGCGCCGGGTGCGCCTCGCAGTCGAAGGGCTCGACGGGGCGCTCCGACGGCGCCGCCGTCGGGGCGTAGGTCGTCGGCGGATTCGTCGGCGCCGCCGTCGGGAAGACGGGCGCCTCGAAGCTCCCGAGCGGGCAGTTGAGGCCGTCGTTGCTGCTCGCGTCGGCCGAATCCGTCACGCGCGTCAGCGACGCCGTCGCGCCGTCGCAGACGGCGTGCGTCTCCGTCTCGAAGCCCGTGTTCCAGCAGGCCTCGGGCACGACGACGGGCAGCTCGAGCTCGAAGATGCCCCAGCCCTCGTTCGACGCGAAGTACGACGACAGGCCGTACCACTCGTAGCCCTCGCGGTACCCAAAGGCCGCCCCGAAGGCCGACGTGCCCGTCTCGGGCTTGCCCAGGCCCCAGTCGACGTCCGACTCCAGGACCGCGTAGGCCTCCGGCGCGCCGTCGTCGCCGAGCCGCACGACGAAGAGCTCGAAGGCCTGGGCCAGGCCCACCAGGTACTCGCCCTTGTTCTCGCCGTCGTCGATCCAGACGTCGTCGCGCTTCTCCTCGAGCGGCGCGAAGTCGAGGACGGACCGCGTGAAGAGGTCCTGGGGCACGACGAAGCCGTAGTCCTCGTGGAACACGGGCGCGTCCGTGTCCAAGCCTTCCACCCAGTAGACCGCGCGGTCGCCGCCCATGCCCGGCTCCTTGGCGTAGTAGTAGTTGGCTCCTAGAATCGCGCCCGCGTTGGGCTTCTCCTCCGCCAGGGGCGTGTCGAAGCACGACCGCTTCCGCCGGTCGAAGACGCAGAGGTAGCCCGCGAAGGACCCGTAGGCGTAGTACTCGTCGACGGCGGCGTCGTACATGGCCAGCGCGTTGACGTGGGCGTCGAGGTCGAGGAAGTCGAGCTCGTAGAGCGTGTGGTACGCGCCCGTGAGGACGTCGAGCTCCGCGACGCGGTAGTGCTCGTCGTCCTTCTCCCGGAGCACCTGGATCGGGTTGCCCGCCGCGGCGCAGTCGAAGGGCTCGACGGCGCCCTCGGACGGCGCCGCACTCGTCGGCGCGTAGGTCGGCTGCGCCGACGGCGCCCGCGACGGCTCGAACGACGGGGCCGGCGTCGGGTCGCCGGTCGTCGGCGCGCGCGTCGGATCCTCGAACGCGACGAACGCCTGCGTCTCGCAGTTCAGGCCGTCGTTGCTCGACGCGTCCAGCGACGCCATGCGGTACACGATGGACGCCGACGAGGCCTCGCAGACGACGTGGTTCTGCGTCTCCTCGTCCGCGTTCCAGCACGCCTCCGGCACGACGACGGGCAGCTCCAATTCGAAGAGGCCCCAGCCCTCGTTCGACGCGAAGAAGACCTGCGCGTCGCCCCACGTCGCGCTGCGGTACGTGAACGCGGCGCCAAAGGCCGACGTGCCGCTCTGGGGCGTCCGGCTCCGCCAGTCGGCGACGCCCGGGATCACCGCGTAGGCGTCCGGCGCGCCGCCGTCGCCGAGCCGGACGACGACGAGCTCGAAGGCCTGGGCCAGACCCACCAAGTACTCGCCCTTGCCCTCGCCGTCGTCGATCCACACGTCGTCGCGCTCCTCCTTGAGCGGCGCGAAGTCGAGGACGGACCGCGTGAAGAGGTCGTCCGGGATGACGAAGCCGTAGTCCTCGTGGAAGACCGGCGCCGCCGCGTCCAGGCCCTCGACCCAGTAGACCGCGCGGTCGCCGCCCATGCCCGGCTCCTTGGCGTAGTAGTAGTTGGCTCCTAGAATCGTGCCCGCGTTGGGCTTCGCCTCCGCCAGGGGCGTGTCCAGGCACCACTTTTTGACGCGGTCGAAGACGCACAGATAGCCCGCGAGGGACCCGTACATGTAGTAGGCGTCGACGGCCCACTCGTAGAGCGCGATGGCGTTGACGTGGTCGTCGACGTCGAGATAACCGAGCTCGTAGAGCGAGTGGTACTCGCCGGAGACGAGGTCGAGCTCCGCGACGCGGTAGGGCTCGCCGTCGTCGCCGCGGAGCACCTGCACGGGGTTCGGGAACTGGGCGCAGTCGAAGGCCTCGACGTCGCCCTCGGACGGCGCCGCCGTCGACGGCGCGTAGGTCGGCGCGGGCGTCGGCGCGGGCGACGGCTCGGGCGTCGGCGGCGCCGACGGCTCGGGCGTCGGCTCCGGGCTCGGGCCGCGCGTCGGCGCGGGCGTCGGCGGCAGCTCGACGATGAAGCCGCCGAGGGCGCAGTTCATGCCGTCGTTCGAGCTCGCGTCCGCGGACGGGCCGCGCCAGTGCACGATGGCCCGCTCGGCGGCGCAGGCCGCGTGCGCCAGGGTGTCCGTGCCCGTGTTCCAGCACTCGTCCGGGATCTCCAGAGGCAAATCGAGCTGGAACATGCCCCAGCCCTCGTTGGACGCGAAGTAGGGGTAGTAGACGTCCCAGTCCCGCGAGCGGTAGGAGAAGGCCGCGCCGAAGGCTGAGGTGCCGTCCTCGGGCGTCTTGGACGCCCAGTTCACCGTGACGGCGTCGACGACCGCGTAGGCCTCCGGCGCGCCGTCGCCGTCGAGGCGCACGACGAAGACCTCGAAGGCCTGGCCCAGACCGATGAGGTAGGCGCCGCCGGCGACGCCGTCGACGATCCACGCGTCCTCGCCGTCGACCTCCTTGTTCGGCGTCACGTCCAAAACCGAATCCTCGAAGAGGTCCTCGGAGACCACGAAGGCCGCCGTCTCGTGGAAGACGGGGTCGCCGTCGACGCCCTCGACCCAGTAGAAGGCGCGGTCGCCCTCGCCCGGCGTCTTGGCGTAGTAGTAGTTGCCGTCGAGCATCGCGCCGACGTTCGGCCGGTCCTCCATCAGCGACGTCGCGAAGCAGGCCGCGCCGCCGTCGTCGAAGGCGCAGAGCTTGCCGTCGATGGCCGCGTAGGCGTAGAACGCCTCGTAGTCGTCCGACTCGTACATGGCCACGGCGTTGACGTGGCTGTCGAGGTCGAGGTAGTCGAGCTCGAAGAGCGTGACGTACTCGCCGTCGCCCTGGATCTCGAGCTGCGCGGCGCGGTAGTGCTCGTCGTCGCCGTCGCGCATGACCTGGATGGGGTCCGGGAAGCCGTCGCAGTCGAAGGGCGCCACGGCGTAGGACGTCGGGTCGGGCGACGGGTCGGGCGTCGGCTCGGGGCTCGGCTCGGGGCTCGGCTCGGGCGTCGGCTCGGGGCTCGGCCCGGGCGTCGGCGCCGGCGTCGGCGTGTAACTCGGCGCCGGCGACGGGTCCGGCGCGATGAGGCCCAGGGGGCAGTTCATGCCGTCGTTGGACGTCGCCTCCGCGGACGCGTACTTGCGCACGACGGACGCGCTGGAAGAAGCGCACGCGGCGTGCGACGCCGCGTCGAAGCCCGTGTTCCAGCACGCGTCGGGCACCGTCACGGGCAACACGACCTGAAACAGGCCGAAGCCCTCGTTGGCCGCGAAGTACATCTCGACGTCGCCGGCCATGTCGAGCTGGTACAAAAAGGCCGCGCCGTAGGCCGACGTGCCCGTTTCCACGTCCGCGCCATTCCAGTCGACGACCGCGGGCAAAACCGCATAGGCGTCGGGCACGCCGCCATCATCCAAGCGCACGACGACGACCTCGAGCGCCTGGCCCATGCCGAAGAGGTAGCGGCCCGCGTCGTCGCCGTCGGCGACGAATTCGCGCGGCCACGCGACGCCCTCCGCGTCGACGAAGTTTTCCGTGAGCGCGACGATGTCCAGCACGCTCCGCTCGAAGACGTCCTCCGAGACCACGAAGAGCGCATCCTCGTGGAACGCCGGCGCCTCGGTGTCGATGCCGGACACGAAGTAGAAGCTCTTCTCGCCGTTGTCGCCGACCTCCTTCGCGTAGTAGTACGTGTCCTCCAAAATCGTGCCCAGGTTCGGCTTCTCCTCCGCGAGGGGCGTCGGGAAGCATTTCCGGTGCGCGCTGTCGAACTTGCACAAGAACCCGGCGAAGGAGCCCCAGGCCGTGAAGGTCGAGTAGGACGCGTCCGCGTGCATGGCGACCGCGTTGATGTGGCCGTCGAAGTCGAAGGCGTAGAGCGTCTCGTAGTTCCCCGTCTCGAAGTCGAGCATGGCCGCCTCGTAGGGCTCGTCGTCGCTCGCGCGCCTGTGTGGAAATCAACCACTGGTTTGGGGGGTCCCCACCAAACTTCAGAACTCTCTAGCTCGGTCAAATCGAAGTCGATTCGGCTGGATTTTGGACGAATCGATTGCTCTCATCGAGTTCTCGAAGCACGGCAGAAGAGTCCGGTCCAAACCGTTCGGTGATGCACACATTGAAGTCGGGTTGAAGATTTGATTTCCACACAGCCTCGCGCAAAATCTGGATCGGGTTCCCGAAGCTGCCGCAGTCGAACGCGGACACGTCCGCGGGGGTCGCCGACGGGGCGTACGTCGACGGCGCGTAGGACGGCGCTTCCGTCTCCTGGAGCACGCTGCCCTCGGGGCAGTTCAGGCCGTCGTTCGACGACGCCGGCAGCGACGGCCCGACCCATCGAATGACCGCGGCGGCGCCGTCGCAAACGACGTGACTCTCGACGTCGTGGCCCGCGTTCCAGCAGTCCGCCGGCGCGTCGAGCGGCAGCTCCAGGAAGAAGATGCCGTAGCCCTCGTTGGACGCGAAGTAGAGCTCGCGGCCGGCCGTTTCGGAGACGTAGGCGAACGCGGCGCCGAACGACGAGTCGGCGCCGTCCGGCGGGTCGTCCGCTGGGTAGTCCGACCAGTCCACCGTCGACGGCAAGACCGCGTAGGCCTCGGGCGCGCCCGTCGCCGACGAGAGGCGCACGACGAGCACCTCGTAGCGCGCCGCGAGGCCGACGAGGTACGTCGCGTCCGCCACGCCGTCGTCGACGTAGACGGCGCCGTCCTCGGGCAGCGGCGCGAGGTCGAGCACCGCATCCTCGTAGAGGCTCGCGGAAATCGTGAAGGACGACGCGTTGTGGAATTTTGGGGACGCGGTCTGCACGTCGTCGACGTAGAAGATCGCGCTGCCGTCGTTGCGGCCCGTGTTTTTGGAGTAGTAGTAGCGGTCGCCGACGACGCAGCCCACGTTCGCCGCGTACTCCAATGGCTCGTCGAAGCAGGCGCGGCGCTCCGCGTCGAAGCGGCAGAGGAGGCCGCCCATGGACGCGAACGCGTAGTACGCGCCGTCGGCGTCCTCGTAGAGCGCGGCCGCGTTGACGTGGTCGTCGAAGTAGTCCAACGTGAAGACGAGCGCGTAGTCGCCCGTGTCGATGTCGAGCTGGCGCACGTTGTAGGACTCGGCGTCGTCGCCCCATTTTAAGACCTGGAGCGGGTACGGGGACGCCTCGCAGTCGAAGGGCGCCACGCCGTCGTCGGCCCAGCACGACGCGGCGCCGCCGCAGCCGTCGTCGTCGCGCTCGTCCGACGCCGCCGACGCCGCGAGCAGCACCAGCGGCGCCAAGAGGCGCGCGGGGCTGCGCCGGCCGTGAGGCCGCGCAGTGAACATCGCGCAAGAGTTGAAAAAAGCGTTCAACTGGACTTCAAGCAGCCTTCAGCTTTAGCGACGAGCGGACGGCCTGATCGAGGCGCCTATCGAGACATGGAGACCGCGACGGACGAACAGACCTACACGCCGAACGCGTCGGAGGGCGCGGAGTCGCTCGTCATCCGCCTGCCGCCGCACCTCGCGAAGCTCGCCGAGTCCGGGAACTGGCCATCCGACGCGACGGTCGAGTTCGACGGCGACAAGCTCGCGTTGCGCCTGCGGTCCCACCCCGACGACCTCGAGCGCATCGAGACCTACAACGCGACGAGGAGCAGCAACACCTGCGAGCAGGAGTGCTTCGACGGGAGCGGCGCCGGGTGCGGCGCCGTGCGCGGGCGCTACGTCTTCGAGCGGCTGTCCATCGACGAGGAGCAGCGCCGGAAGGTCAAGGCGCGGTCCGAGCAGGCCAAGGCCGCGGCGAAGGAGCGCCACGTCGAGCAGCTCGACGTCGCCGAGGCGCCCAGGGCCGCGGCGGCGCCGCCGCGGAAGCGCGCGAGGACGCCGCGCGCGGCGCCGGGCTCGCCACGCGGCGCGCCGGGCTCGCCGCGCGCGGCGGCGGCCGCGCCGACCTGCTACGTGTCCCTCGGCGCGCGCGCCCTGGCCAAGTCCGTCGGCGAGCTCCGGGCGACCTTCCCGGACCTCGTCGCCGTCGGCTGCTTCCGGCGGCCGACGGGGCGCGGCGATCCCGCGTGGACGTCGCCGGGCCCGCCCGGGCCCGCCGGTGACGCGGCCGCGGCCGACGTCTTCGACGCGGCCTACGCCTGCTTCGCGACGCCCGCCGCCGCCGGCGAGGCGCTCGCGGCGGGCGCGCTCGGCGCCGCGCCCTGCGATTCCGCGGCGGCGGCGCACGCGGCGCTCGCGGGCGTCGTCGTCTACAAGCCGCCGGGCTGGGTGGCGGCGCCCGTCGTCCGCCCCGGCGCCGAGCCCCTGCCCGCGCCGCCGGCGGCGTCGGCGTCGGGCGCGCCGACGCTGCGCAACGCGGCCGCGGCCGCGGCCGTCGGATCCGACGCGACGCGCGTCGGCGCGGCCGCCGAGGCGGTCGTCGCGGGCCTCTCGGGCGCGGCGCGCGGCGCGCTCCGCTTCGTCGCGCCGGAGCTCCGCGACCCGGAGCGCGCGCGCGCGGCGAAGAAGCGCGTCGACTACCTCGGGCCGGAGCTCGCGTTGTCGCGGCGGTCCTTCCACGAGCGCTGGTCCCGGGCCGACGACGACTTGGAGGTCGCGGAGCTCGCGCTCGCGCTCGCCGTCGACGAGGCCGCGGCGACGGCGCGGCGCGCGGCGGCGCACCTCGCGGCGACCAAGGCGACCAAGGCGTCGGCGCCGGCGTCCCGCGACGATGTTCGAGAGACGTTGACCGGGAAACCAAAGAGACATCGTGACCGACGTGCGTTCTTAGGTCGGCGCGGCGCGACGGCGACGCGGACCGGCTCCTCGGGCGGCCGCGCGGCGCGGGCGACGCGGGCGCCGACGACGACCCGCGCCTCGCGGCGCTCGCGCTCCTGCGCCGGGTCCGCGGCGCGCTCCGCGTCGAGCGGTGCCTCCTCGAGGCCCACCTCGTCGGCGAGGGCCTCGACCTGGACCTGCTGCGCCGCGCGCGCGTGCCGCTGCCGCCGTAACTGTGACGATGTACGTTGGTCATCGGCCCCCCTCGTTAGGGTTTCTATGAGGCCGAAAGGTGTGGAAACCCCCTCGGCAGCTAGCTCTAGGGTGTCTTTAAAGTCGCAACTCACAGGTCTGGCACGGTCCGCTCGTCGGGCGCGGCGGCCTTCGGCGGCGCGAAGTCGTCGTAGAGCGCGTGGGCCTCGTCCTTGAAGATCAACGCCGCGGCCGTCGCGGCCGCGCCGTCGACGTCCGCCGACGCCGCGTACGCGCGGCACGCCGTGGCCGCGTCGAAGACGACCGGGTCGTTGAGCGAGAGCCCGAGCGCCGCGGCTTCCTCGAGCGCGGTACCGATCAGGGCGAGCTCGTCGGCCGTGGACACGGACGCGCCGGCGAGCGTCTCGAGCACGGCCTCGCGCGCGAGCGCGTCGAGGAGCTTCTTCCGGCGCGCGACGGCGCCGGCGAACTCGGACGCGTCGCTCGGCACGCCCGCGAGGCCCGCGACGTCCAGCGCCCTCTCGAGGTCCTCCAACGTTTGCGCCTCTTCGAGGGCGTCCGCGGCCGCGAGGACGGCGACGCGCTCCGCGCCCTTCCGCTGCTGCATCTTGGCCGCCATCTCGTCCTTGAGGGCCTCGGCGGCGGCCATCTCGAAGGCGTCGTCGAGGACGAACAGCGCCGTGTGCTGGCGGCGCGCCGTGGAGCGGCGCGTCGGCGCGAGGCCTGTGACCAGCGCGAGCGTGAGAGGGAGGAGCACGCGTCGCATCATCTCTCAGATGTGTCCTGCTGGGTCCGGCGGCAGGACGCGCCGGCAGGGGGGCCGACGGCGGCAGAGCTCGATTCGTGCGCAGAAGGCCTTCACCATGCAACTTGAAGGAAATGTAGGCCTAAGTGGCCGCGCGCACGTGCACGCGTTAGGGAAGGGCGGGGAGGGACAGGCGGCTCTGATACGTCGGTGGACGCCGCGGGAGGAGCTTGGGGGGGAACAAAACGGGCCCTCTGTTCAGCGGTCGATGAAGACCGCGCTCGGCGCGAAGATCTCGTCGAAGAGCGCGTGGACCGCGTCGTCGGGGTCGGCGGGCGCGGCGGCCGCGGCGGCGGGTTCGCCCGGGCCGTCGTCGACGTCCCAGGTGTCGGAGCCGACGTCGGAGAAGGTGCGGTTGAGCAGGCGGACCTCGTCGCTCGGGATGCGGTCGTCGAGGCGCGGCGGCGCGAGCTCGGACCGCGGGCTCTCCGTCGTCGGCTCGGAGCCGTCGCGGGGCGACGGCAGGAGCGACGGGAGCGACGGCTCGCGCGGCGCGGGCCGCGGCGGCGGCGGCGGCGCGGGCGCGAGGAGCGCGAGCCGCGCGAGCCGCGCCGACGCGTCGTCGCGCGGCCGCGGCGGCTCCGCGGCGCCCGGCCGGGGCGCGGCGAAGAAGCGCGGCGCGGGCGCGCGCGCGAGGGGCGCCAGCGGCGGCGGCACGTCGTAGACCTGCGGGGCGGCGCGACGTTTGAAGCACGAGACGTTCCCGGGCTCGTTTCGAAAGATTCCTCTCCGGCGACGATCGATCGCAGAAGCACACCCGCCCCACTCCGGCCTCGACCGCGGGCTCGTAGGCGACGGGCAGCGCGCGCTGGGGCGCCGCCGCGGCCGCGCGCGCGACGGGCTCGGGCCGCGCGGCGCCGTCGCGGCCGGCGGGCGACGGCGGCGGCGTCGGGAGGGGCGCCCAGGGCGGCGCGGCGGCGGCCTCCGGGATGGGGCAGGCGAGGAGCGGCGCGAAGAAGGCGTCGGAGGTCTCGGACCGCGGCGACACCGCGAGGCCCCAGAGCGCGTCCGCGCAGCTCGGCTCGGGCGCGGCCTGGGCGGGAAAAGGGTGCGAAATTCCCAACTTTGGAGGCTCCTCTCTCGGTCGTTTCGGCTAATTTTTGGACGAGCGATCATCTCTCGGAGCGCTCTCGACGCGCGAATGCTTTTTCCGGAACGGAACACTCATATTGAAGAGAACTTGAATCACTCTTTTCCTGCTCCGGGCGCGGCGGCCTCGACGGCGATGGGCGCCGCGCGCTTGCGCTTCGGCGGCGGCGGCGTCGACACGGGCGCGGGCGCCGGCGGCGCGCGCTTCGCGTCGCGGCGCCGCTCCGGCGCGGCCGCCGCGGCGTCGGCGGCGGCCGCGGCGCCGCGCGACCGGCCCTTGGTCGACTGCGGCGCGCGGAGCACGCGCGTGAGGAGCTCGGGCCGGTCGCGGAGGAAGGACTCGTGCTCGAAGGCGCCGTCGGCGTTCTTCTTGAAGCCGTACAAATTCAGCTGGCGCTGGAACGACGCGTAGCGGCTGTGGCGAAAGTACTTGACGAGCGTGTCGGCGATGAAGCCGTCGAGGTCCGCGATCTCGAAGGCCGCGCCGCCCTCGCACCAGTGCACCGTGCCGGCCTCGACCTCGCGCTCGAGCATCATGAAGAGCAGGTGCGGGAACGCCTGGGGCGCGCCGCGCTTGCCTGCAAACGCGCGGTGACGGCGGCGGCCGCGGCGCGACGGCCGACGGGAGCGAATTTCGCGAGCGACGACGCGCGCGCCCCGCGCGTTCCCCGACGTCCGGCGCGCGCGACCGGCCCGCGCGCCGCGGGGACCGCCGCCCGCGTCGCGGCGGACGCGGGCGCTGACCCGTCTTCGGCAGGTTCCGCAAGACCCGCGGGTCGTGGGCCATGGGCGTCGGCCGCGCGTTCGCGTCGTCGGCCGGCGCGAGCTCCGTGATGGGCAGCGGCCGCGCGGCGGCGCGCCGGCGGAGGTGTTCGCGGCTTGACATGTTCGGATCAAAGCCTCAAGCGGCGCACATTCCGGTGTGTTTCGTGCAGCAAACGTGGCGGGCAGCTTCATGGCAAGCAAACATGGAAAATGGGCAGCTTGATTCGTTGCAGCCAAATTTACCACAGCAAAAGCGAGGTGAGGCCTCGTCTGCATAGAGCACTGCGCGCCGCGCCGCGCCTCTCTCGGTGCTCGTCGCGTAAGGACACTGCGCGCCGCGACGCCGCGCAATGAGCAATCGCACAGTCGCTTTCAAGTTCGCCGGTGACACGCAGCGCCTCGACGTGCCCGACGGCGAGACGCCGCTCGTGACCTGCGCGAGGCACTGGAACTTGCCGCTGGACCGCGTGACGCTCGTCTGGAAGGGGAAGCGCTACAAGCACCTCGACGCGACCGTCGACGCGAGCGACGAGCTCTTCGCGCCGGGCGTCGGCACGGTCCTCGTGCTCGGCACGCGCGCGGAGCGGCAGCTCGACGCGCCGTCGCCCGTCGGCGCGCTCTGCCGCCGCGTGCCGCTCCTCGGCCCGCTCCTCGCTGCGCTCTGCGCGATCGCGGCGGACGTCGCGTTCCGCGCGCGGCGCGACTGGGCGCCGGCGGCCGCGCGCGGCGCCGCGGCGGCCGTCCGCGGCGTCGCGCTCTTCTTCTCCTCGCTGGTCCCGCGGATGCCGGCCCGGCGGCGGCGAACCCCGCCGGCGTAGGACTTCTTTACTTGGGGAGGAGGGATCTTGCGGCCTCGAACGTGTGTCGACCTGTTACTTGGGGATCGGCCGATGGGGGGGGGGGGACCTTGCGGCCTAGAGGACCTCGAACGTGTGCTTCGCGCTTCGCTTGGCCTCGAGGCGGCGGCCTTCGCCGACGGTCTCGAAGTGACCCGCGTCCCGCGGACGCGTCCGGCGCGCTCCTTCTCGAAGCCGACGCGGCGTCGGTGATCGGTTCCGCGGCCCCGAGGCTCGTCGGGCACGTCGCCGGCGCCGAACCCGCGCGCGCCGGCCCGCTCCCGGGCCCCGCGCGGTCATCCGCCGCCGGGCCCTGGAGACGCGTTCTCGGCCGGCGGCCGCCCGCGCCGGGTCGACGTTCCGGTCGCCGACGAAGGCCTCGAGCGGTCCGCGGCGCCCCTCCGCGCCTTCGGCGCGGAACCCGAGCCCTACGACGCCCGGCGCACGCCCTGGGGCCACTCGGCGCCGCGTCGGCCGTTTCCGCTCGTCGTCGAAAAGACGCTCGGGCCGGGCCCCCGGCACGCGGTCGCGTCGAACTTCGACGCCCGGCCCATGGAACCGTCGCATACCTACGTGCCCTCGATGGGATGGCCGCGCGGCGCGCCGCGGCGGCGCCAGGGCTGCTCCCGGGCTGCCCCAGAGCGCAAGATCTGCCGATATGGCGAAACATCGCTGCTTTCGGGGCGCGCGCGCCGCGATTCGCGACTTGCGGCCCGTGCGAGTTGTCCAGGGGATGCTGACTAGCATGCTGCGTCCGCCGGTACCGCGCATGCCTCCGGAGGCGCCGCCCATCGCGCGCCAGGGGCACTGCTGTATTGTAGAGGCCGGCCTTGCCCGACAGTTGCCGCAGCGCAGCGGAGGATTGGTTCGAGCACCCAAAATGGCCCGAAACGCGCAAAATGCCGAAGCTGCAGTGGCAGACTCTCACGGCGTGTCCTCGCGCCGAGACTGAGCACCAGTGGACCTACGACGTCACGTGGCAGACCTCGACGGGGCCGGTTGTCGCCCGGACCACCTTCAAGACGCTGCGCGACGGCACTTTCGCGTGCGCGATGCCAGGGTGCCCCAAGGCTCAGTACGGCGAGGCTCCTAAGAATCGAAACGAATATAAAACGTTCCAGCACGTCCTGCGATATCACGCGGTCGTCGGCGGCTGTTCATACCCGGCGCTCGAGCGGTGGCTCGACGACGAGGCCAATGCCAAAGAACCCTTCCTGACGGACACGAGCGAGGACATGTTGGACTTGATGGAGAAGACCGGGAAGGACGCCAAGTTCATCCAGAACCAGCTGGACAAAAAACGCTTGGGCGCGAATGGAAACCCGATCGACGCACGCATCGCTCGCTGGAAGAACGATCCGACGTACGTGCGCCAACAGCGTATCGGAATGACATATGGCAATGGCTACACCTGCTTGAACTGCGGCGCCAAGAACGACCACAAATCGAATCGATGCCCGCTGACTCAAGAGCAGCGTGACGTTCTCGTCGAGCGCGGCGAGGCCTACGAGCCGAGCAGAAGGTACTATCCCAACCCGAACTGCCCGGACTACCCGGACTGCGACCTGTGCCAGGACTTGAGCGTGAATTGCTGGAAGAATCGACGCAAGGTGATGGAGGTCATCCCCGGCGAGGTCATGCCCGACGACGAGGTGGTCGAGATCTGGGATGAGCTGAAGACGCGGCCCTTCTCGCTGAGCTACCTCGGGGGCAACCCGCGCGCGCGGCAGGCCTTCGGGCAGCTGGAGAAGATGGAGCTCACGATCGAGGACGTCGCGCGCGACGGCGCGTCGGCGTTCGGCGACCTGTCGCTGCTCTTCTCCGTCCGCGTCTGCAAGCAGACGCTGTGCGGGGACGACACCGTCGACGACGAGTCCGTCGTCGTGATCTCCCGGGCGGCCAACACGGTCCCCCCGCTCGTGCCGAAGCGATTCTGGCTCGCGGGCGTCGCCGGTGCGAAGCCTCCGGGCCATCCGCACAACGTCGAGCAGGCGCGCGACGCTTCGGCCGTCTGCTCGCTGTTCGTCGAGGACGTCGAGCGGCACAAAAACGGCGGCCCGCACAAGCTCGAGGACCACCTGCACCGCCACGTCGCCAATCCCGCGGCGTCGCGCCCCTGCGAATCTCGCGTGCGCAACGTCGAGACGTCGTTGGACTTCATGACGCGCGCGGCGCCGTCGAACCACCAGGGCAAGGCGCAGATCAAGTCTGAGCGGCCCCAGGGGTCGCGGGCCGAGTGCGTGCTCGTGGTTTATTTGCTCGACCTGCTGCGGCCCCTCACGGTCGAGGAACACGAGTACTGCGTCAAGAAGGTCGACGAAAAAAATGGTACCAAGAGAGAGAAAAACGCGGCTCGCGACGGGCGCGTCGCGAGCGGTCCGAAGGTGCTCGGCCCGAAGTCGGCGCCGGAGCGGCCCACGGTCTCCGCGGCGTCGCCGGCGTCGCCCGTGTCCGCGCGGCCGCTGCCGCGCCTGCCCACGGCGCCCGCCGCCAAGCGCGTCGGCGTGTCCGCGTTGTCGTCGACGACGGCGCTGATGCTGGGCACGCGGCCCACGGTTTCCGCGGCGTCGCTGGCGTCGCCCATGTCCGCGAAGCCGCTGCCGCGCCTGCTCCCGGCGCCCGTCGCCAAGCGCGACGGCGTGCCCGCGTCGTCGACGGCGCCGAAGAAGAAGAAGATGAAGTCCACGGACAAGCCCACGGCGGCGCAGCAGGCCTTTTTCAAGGCCTTCAAGCGGCCGTCCGCGAAGCCGCCGGCGACCGCGCCCCGCCTCGACGCGCCCGGCGCGGCCGCGCCCGCGGCGGCGTCGGCGCCCGCGCCCGCGCCCGCGGCGGCGCCCGCGCCCGCGCCCACGACGCCCATGGTCATGGGCGACGAGCCCGACGAGCCCGACGAGCCGGCGACCGCGTCCGACGGCGCCTCGCTCTCGTCCGCCGGCCCGACGCGTCCGCCCTTCGCCCAGGTCAACGTCCTCCACCGCGTGCGCGAGGCCGCCGAGGCGCGCGCCTCGCGGCTCGAGGAGGAGGCGGAGGCCGAGCAGGCGGCGGCCGTCGAGGCGGAGGACAAGGTGCGGGCCGTGCGGCGCGGCCTCGAGCCCAAGCTCGAGCAGGAGCGCCAGCTCGAGACGCAGCAGCGCCAGCTCGAGATGCAGCTCGCCGAGCTCAGGCTCCAGAACCGCGCCACCGAACGCGAGCTCTCGAGCCTCGAGGCCATCGCGCGCGCCCGCCGCGACACGGTGAACCGCCGCGGCGCCGCCAAGGCGTCCTACTCCCCCGGGCATTAAAGTACCCGGATTACCGAAACGCGCCCTTGGGCCCCTCTAACTCCGCCAGCCACAGCCTGTAGTGCCCCAGCGCGACGCCAGGGGCAGGGTGGTCCGGATGGGCGACTATTTGACTCACCGGAAGACAACCAGCGCCCCCATGGGCAGCTGTTGGCTCGGACCTGTACGACGCTGCCAGTCCAGCTCCAATTTCGACAATCTGACCAGGATCATGGTAACGGTGGGTATATGCACCCGCGGGGCCGACTTCGCGGCACCGAAGGACGCCAAAAGCACGCCTCCCCGCGGGTCCCGTGCGGGGAATTGCAGCCGCGGGAATTCCTCGGCGAAGCTATAAATTTTCTTCAACTTGAGGTCAACTTGACCTGCGTTGAAGTTCAACATGGCCGGCTCCGGGGTCGAGGTCCGGTAATGAGCCAGGGGTGCCTAATATAAGGACCCCAGCCCCCGTAGTATCCAGGATAGTCGGCTGGAGGCGCAGGGAGGCCAGAGGTGTGGCCTGGCGCGCGTAGGAGGAGCGCCAAATCCGTAATCCGGGTAGGTTAATGCCCGGGGAAGTAGGTTCGCAGGCGACCGGTGCTCGTCCGTAATAAGCTAGTGGACGAGGCCCGCACGTACTATGTACCCAACCTCTAGCGAGGCCCGCGCGCGTGCTAGAGGCCCTCGCGCGCGACGTCAGGCGGCGCGCGCGGCCGCGCCGCGCGGCACGGCTCCCAGGCGTCCCGAGCCGGTCGTGCGCCAGACTTGCCGTCCACAGCACAGCCGCCGGCGATTATGGCCACCTTCGAATCCGCCACCGCCACCTTCGACGTCTGCACGCTGTCTCCGAAGCGCGAGCTCATCGCCGACGCGGCCGGCGCGCTCGCGCTCGTCGAGACGATGCCGGCGGCGCTGCGCGGCGTCAAGCTGGGCAACAAGTCGTACACGGCCGCCGCCGCGGCGGCGCTCGCCGGCCGCCTGAAGGGCCTCCGCGGCCTCGTGGACGTGGACATCGCCGACGTCATCGCCGGCCGGCCCGAGGCCGAGGCGCTCGAGGTGCTCGCGCACCTGAGCGGCGCGCTCGCCGCGGCCGCGGGCGGCGGCGACGCCGCGCGGTGCGCGGCCGAGGCGCTCGACGTGTCCGACAACGCGCTGGGCCAGAAGGGTCTGGACGCGCTGCTGCCCCTCTTCGGCGGGACGCCCCTCGTCTCCCTGAAGACGTGCAACAACGGCATGTCCGAGGCCGCCGCGAAGCAGCTCGCGGGGCTTTTGACCGACGGGGGCGACACGGCGCTCGAGCGCTTCCACTACCACAACAACATGTCCGGCGACAACGGCGCCGTCGCCGTCGCGTCCATCGTCGCCGCGTCGCCGAAATTGGTGGACCTGCGCTTCAGCGGCACGAGGGCCGGCCGCGCGGGGTCGCTCGCGTTCGCAGGCGCGCTCCGCCCGCGGCACCTCGTGCACACGCTGGACCTCGCGGACAACTCCTTCGGCGACGACGGCGGCGAGGCCATCGCGGCCTGGCTCGCCGACAGCGCCGCGGCGTCGCCGTCCGCGGCCGCGCCGCTCAAAAAGCTCGTGCTCCGCGACTGCCTGCGTGGAAATCAACCAGTGAGCTGGGACGTCGGGGCCAAACTTCAGAATTCTCTAGCTCGATCAAATCGAAGTCGATTCGGCTGATTTTTGGACGAATCGATTGCTCTCAGCGAGTTCTCGAAGCACGGCGGAAGTGCTCGTGTCAAAACATTCGAATACGCGCACATTGAAGTCGGGTTGAAGATTTGATTTCCACACAGGCGACTGTTCGCTCGGCGACGACGGCTTCGCGCCGCTCATGGAGCCGCTGACGTGCTGCCCGGATTTAGTCCACCTCGACCTCTCGGGCAACGAGCTGACGGCGGCGTCGTGCGCCGGGGGCTGGCTCGCGGGCTGCGCGCCCGCGCTCGAGTTCCTGGGCTTCGAGGAGAACGAGCTCACGTCCGCGGGCGGCGCCGCGCTCGCGCTCGGGCTGCCGGCGCTGCCCAAGCTCGCCACGGCGCTCCTCGCGACGAACGAGCTCGCGTCCAAGGGCGCGCTCCTCCTCGTCTCCGCGCTCCTGGCCAAGGCGCCCGCGCTCGGGAAGCTCGAGCTCAACGGCAACGCGCTCGACGACGCCGCGCTCGAGAAGCTCGGCGAGCTCCTCGGCGACCGCGACATCCTCGGCGACATGGACGACAACGACGAGGACCTCGCCGACGACGACTGCCTCGACGACGGCGGCCTCGACGGCCTCGAGGCCGCGCTCGGCGCCGTCGGCATCTAGGGCGCCGCGAGTAAGCAGCGTATGGCACCGAATAAGCAGCGAGGCACCTCGGGGCCGCGAGGAAGCAGTGCGGCACCTCTGGACTACGCCACGCCCGGTTGTGTTTTTACGAGTGGGACAAGCGCGCGTCGTATCATTCTCAGCACCCCGCCTTCGTCGCGCGCGGCGGCGGCGGCGGCATGGCGAGCTCCTCGGGCGTCGGCGGCACGAAGGTCTTCGGCGACAGCGACTTGCGCGGCTTCCACTGGATCGGCGTCGGCGGCGTCTCCTGGCTCGCGAGATCGATCGCGGCGACGTCTCGACCGAGCTCCTCGGGCGTCGGCGGCACGAACGTCTTGGGCGACAGCGGCGTGCGTGGCTTCGTCAGCGCGGGCGTCGGGGGGGTGGCCTGGCTCGCGAGCGTCATGAAGCCCCCCGCGAGGCCCGGCGCCTCGAGCGCCGGCGGCCGCGCCGGGCGCGCCGCGGGCCGCGGCGGCCGCGCCGCCGGGGCGATCTCCGCGGGGCGGCCGAGCTCCTCGGCCGTCGGCGGCGAGAAGATCTGCGACAGGTTGTCGCGGGAGAGCGAGCGCCGCGGCTTGTCGAGCTGGGGCGTCGGCGGCGTCGTCATCTGCGACGAAACGGGCGCGGTCGCCGCGAGTTGGTCGAGCAGCGTCGGCGTCTGGAACGGCCCCAGGGTCATGAAGGACGCCGATGCGAGCGAGGGCGCCTCGAGCGGCTCGAGCGAGGGCGACCGGTGCGGCGCGGTGCCGCCCGATGCGTCGAGAACCAAGGAGGCGCGTTTCGTCGACGATGGCGCCTCGGGCGCGGGCTCCCGCGGCGTGTTTTGGGCTTCGGTGTTCATGGTGGTATGTGCGCGCGTGGCTGTGGGTGCTAGTGCGCCGTGAGACGTCGAACGTGTGACGACGCGCGCGGCGGATACACCGCAAGGAGTGATGCGAGCTCGGTGCGTTTCGAGCGAGCGCTTTGCCTGCCGGAGCTCGCGGAGCCGGCCGGCTGTGGCAGAGGCGGCAATCGAGGCGGCCTTCCCAGCACACTCTCGGCCGCGCCGCGCCGCTCCAAGCGCACCCGAGACGCTTCTACGATGGCCGACCGCCCGCGGTCCTTCTCCGGCGGCTCGTCGGCGCTCCTCAAGGCCAAGTTCGTCATCAAAAAGACGGTGCTGCCGCCGGCGGCGCTCGTCCCCGACTCGGCGCGCCAGCTCGCGGCGGCGCCCATCCCCGGCGACGCGGGCCGCGCGGCGTCGCTGCGGCGCGACATCGCGCGCCTCGAGACCCTGGCGGCGGCGGCCGAGGCCGACGACGCCGCGCGCGCGGACGCGGCCGCGCGGCGCGAGCGCGACGCGGCCGCCGCCGCCGCCGCGCGCGAGGAGGCCGCGCGGCGCGACCGGGCCGCGGCGGCGGAGCGCGAGCGGCGCGAGGCCGAGGAGCGCGAGCGGCAGCGCGAGGCCGACGCGATCCGCGCCGTCGCCGACGCCGCGGACGCGGAGCAGCGGCGGCGACAGCTCGAGCGCGACGCGTCCTTCGCGCGCCGCCTGGCCGACGAGCGGCGCGCGTCGTCGACGCCCGTGCAGCCGCCGCCCTACGGCGACCCGGCGCCGCCCTACGGCGGCGGCGCGCCGACGCCGCCCTACGGCGCGCCGCCCCACGGCGCGCCGCCGCCGGGGCCCTACGCCTACGGCGCGCCGCCGTCGCCGCCGACGCCGCCGCCGGGCGGCGGCGCCCTCGCGGACCTCGCGGCGCGCACGGGGCAGGACGAGGCGACGTGCCGCTTCTTCCTCGAGTGCGGCGGCGGCGACGTGGAGCAGGCGATCTCGGTCATGCGCCAGAACGGGCGGCTCTAAGTTTTCTCTAGCGAGGTGGGCCCCTTTCGAATTCGAAAACTGGTTTTACGGCGGCTGCCACTTGGGCTCCTTGCGCCGCGCGCGGAAGAAGGACCGCATCGCGTCCGCGGCCTCGGGCTCGCGGACGCCGCCGTCGACGGCGAGCGCGTGGAACGGGTGGCCGAGCTCGGCCATGTTGAGCCAGGACTCGGCGGCGCCGAGGCGGTGGTCCGGCGCGCCGTAGACGACGCGGCCGACGCGGAACGCGTAGCACGCGCTCATGCAGAGCACGCACGGCTCGAGCGTCGAGTAGAGCGTGCAATTCGCCAGGCGCCAGTTGCCCCGCGCCGCCGCCGCGCGCCGCAGCGCCAGCAGCTCCGCGTGGGCCGACGCGTCCTGCGTCGCCTCGATGGCGTTGCCCGCCGCGGCGACGACGGCGCCCGTGGCGTCGTCGACGACGACGGCGCCCACGGGCACCTCGCCGGCGGCGGCGGCGCGTCGCGCCTCGTCGAGCGCCAGGCCCATGAAATTGGCGTCGCGCTCGAGCGACGGCAAGCGGTGGGCCGGGCCGAGTGCGCGTGCTGCTGCGCAGAGCAGCGCGAGGCGCAGCGCGAACATGCGCGCGGAGCGCGTCTCCATCATGCCTCAACATTCAACATGAGCTGCAACATGCGGTACCTGGCGCGTCCCCGAGGCTGTCGGTCGGTCGGGAGTCGCTTTTTGCCGTTCCCGCTGGTCGGAGATCAGGCTCAACGGCCGTAGCGACGCCTCGGCGCGTCTCATTCCCTGCGGCAGGTCCCGCGAGCGCGAACGCGAACGCGAACTCGCCGCTCGAGAAAGGCCATGCTACGACCGCCGCGCCCTCAAACAGCACGTTCGACGCTGACCGAAGGCGCAGGATTGGCTGCGCCTGCGTGCGACGAGCGCGCCTCGACGCCTTCGTCTGAACTTGAACATCATCTTGAAACATATTCAGTTCTCAAATCGTATGAGCAACTGTAGCACCCGAAACTGAGCCGCCCGCCGCCAGCCACACACGCGACGATGCTCCGCGCGGCCGTGGCCCACCCCGACAATGCGACACCCGCGAACGCCCCGACCTGGCGCCCCGCGGGCCGGCGGAACCGGGCCTGGAAGACGACGAAGATCCGGGAGCACGAGTACCCGCGCAAGGCGCCGCGGCCCATCGCGTCGGGCATCTCGTTCCGCGACGGCGACCTCGGCTCCGCGAGGGCCGTCGAGCTCATCAAGGTCTGCGACTTCTACGAGGCCAAGGCGTCGGGCGCGTACGTCGACAGCGCGCTCAGCGGCCGCTACGTGCACGCGATGGCGCGCGAGGTCCGCGCCTTAGCCTGCGCGCTCAAGGAGGCGGAGCACGAGCAGCAGGGCCGCGTGCGCGCCCTCGAGCTCGTCTGCCGCGAGTGGGACGACCACTTTGGCCCCAAAGCCGACGGCCGCGGCAGGCTCGACGAGTCGCAGGGCGAGCTGAGAGTGGTGCCCGTGACGCCCGCGTCGCTCCACGCGGAGCGCGCCTGGCTCATCGAGCGCGTCGACAAGGCCAACGCCGCGGCGCGCGACGCCGAGGCCGCGCTCGCCGCGCGCGACGCGGCCGCGAAGGAGGAGCTCGCGGAGCATCAACGCGCCGCGCGGTCGTTCGCGGCGCGCCAGCGCGCGCGGCTCGACCTCGACCTCGACAAGCTCCGGTCCGACCTCGACGCGCGGCTCGCCCGCGACGCGGCCAACGCCGCGCGCCGCGATTTAGCGGCCCAGGGCTTGGACGGCGCCGCGGGCGCGCGGCTCCGCGCGGCGTCGGCGGCGCGCGAGCAGAAGCTCGCGTCCGAGGCCCACGGCGCGCGCGCGACGAACCAGGAGCTCCGCGAGGAGCTGGCGAAGACCAAGGCGGCCTTGGCGGCGACGCGCGCGGCGCTGGGGGCTTCCACGCGCGACAACGATGAATACTCCGCCATCCGCCGGCAGGTCGTCGCGGACGCGTTCGCGGCGGCCACCGCGACGTCCCGCGCGAACCAGCGGTCCGCGGGGACGCAGTGCGGGCCCGAGGGGCGCCTGCGCTTCGCCGCGGCGCCGCGGGGGCCCCGGGCCATCACCGCGCGGAAGGTGCTCGCGAGTCGCGTGCCGCCGGCTTTGGCCGTCGCGTTCCCGGCGCTCGTGCGGTCGGAGCTCAACGTCGCGCTGCTGTCCGCGGCGCCGCGGCCCGACCTCACGGCGCCGGACGGCGCCGTGGCGCTGGAGCTGACCTGCGCGACGCCCGAGGACGCCGCGCGGCTCTTGGAGGCCGACGGGAAATTGGACGCGGACGCGGACGCGTTCCTGAAACCGGCCGTCGTCGCCGAGCCGGCGCCCGTGCGGCGCTTCGACGTCGAGCTGCTCCGCGCGTCGCCGGCGCCGGACCCGCCCGTGCCGAGCCGCTCGCCCTTCGACTTCCCGCCGCCGCCGCCGGCGACCGCCGCGACCGCCGCCCGGAAGCCGCGCGCGACGGCCGACGACATCCGCGGCCGCCTCTCCGCCATCCGCCCCGTCGTCCACTCGGCCACGGCCAAGCACTTCCGCTAAAAGAGCGATGCCCTCCCGAAGGCCTCGAGGGCGTCGCGGACGGCGTCCATCGCATCGCAGATCGCGTCAACTTGCAGTGAGTGCGAGAGGTGTGCCAGTGCTGCGCTCGCGCGTCGCGCACGATGCTCGTCGCGTTGCTCGTCGCGTGCGCCGCCGAGTCGTCGGCGCTCCGCGCGGCGCCGCAGAGACTCCAGCGACGCGCCCCGGCGGCGCGCGCGGCGGCGGAGGCCATCCGCGAGCCCATGATTCGATTGGGCCACGGCTACGACATCCACCGCCTGGACAGCCGGGAGAACGCGGGCCAGCCCATCGTCATCGCCGGCGTGCGCTTCGACGGGAGCCCCGGCCACGCGCCGGACTTCGAGCTCGGCTGCGTCGCGCACAGCGACGGCGACGTGATCTACCACAGCGTCGTCGACGCGATCCTCGGCGCGCTGACGATGCCGGACATCGGCTGCCTCTTCCCGGACAACGACCCGCGGCTCCGCGGCGCCGACAGCTCCATCTTCATGGAGGAGGCCTACAAGCGCATGGTCGCGCGCGACTACCGCATCGGCAACTGCGACGTGACTTTGATCTGCCAGAAGCCCAAGGTCAACGTCGAGAACGACGCCGGCGAGTCCGTCAAGCAGCTCATGCGCGAGAACCTGAGCCGCCTGCTCCACACGCCCATCGAGTGCCTCAACGTCAAGGCGCGGACGCACGAGAAGGTCGACTCCGTCGGCGAGTGCCGCGCGATCGAGTGCCACGTCGTCCTCACGCTCGAGCGCACGGCCTAGGGTAACCGGGGCAGAGAACAGACGGGGATATGTAGCGGCACTCCGTCGGCGGAACGCGGGGGAGGGCGCATATCAGGCGTCGGAGAGCGCGCTCGGTCGGCGGCACGCGAGGGAGCGCTCAGCCGGAGAGCGAGCGGCGCCGCTTCCGGAGCTGCTGCGGCGGCTCGAGCTTCTCGTCGACGATGGACGTCGGCGACGTGTGGTCCTTGGCCTTGCGCGGCGGCGGCGGCGTCGTCATGGGCTCGGGGTTTCGCAGGCCGTCGAGGAACGACGGGGGCCGCGCGCCGTCGCTGCTCTCGGAGTCGTCGAGGATGGAAAAGAAGGGGTAGCTGTCGTCGTCGCTCCCGGAGTTGTCGAGGGGTGCGTGTTTTATGGAGTCGAGGCTCACGTTCGACAGGTCCGAGCAGAGCGACGCGAGCGAGACCGACGGCCGCACGGCTTTGGGCCGGATCGGCAGCGGCCGCGACCGCGGCAGGTCGCTCGGCACCGCGTGCTTCATGTGGCCGAGCTCGCGCCGCGCGACGAGGCCGAGCCAGGGGCAGCAGCTCCGGCAGTAGCACGCGTCGGCGAAGAAGTAGATCGTCGCGGCGCGGAGGTCCTCGTCGCAACTTTCGCACGCGAACGACGACCCGTCGCCGCGCAACCACGCCGGCGCCGAGCACTTGTCGCGGGGGTGCGTCGGCGTTGGCACGAGATCGACGCGGGACCATCGGACGAGCGACGCCGACGGGCGCAACGCGGTCGCGGCGCCGGATCCGCGGTCGGTCTCGGCGGCCGAGCGTTCGGCCGCGGCGCGCTCCGTGGTTTCATTCGGTGTCTTTGCCCGTTTCACGGGCATGCTTGCGGTACGGGAGGGCGCTCGCGCTCGTGGAGGTGTGTTTTGCGCGGTTTTTGCAGGCGAATTCGCGATAAATATCTTCTTGCTTGCGCAGTGTCCCATCGATTGCCCAGCGAGCGAATTTGCTAGGTTTGCTCACTGCGGGGCACCGCGCCGCCGAGGGCGGCGCGGCTAGACAGGAGCTTGGCTTGGCGACGATTCACGTGCGGGCACGCACGATTTCTTCGGCGTGTCGAGGCGTGATGCGTCTCGACTCGCTTGAAAGCATGCGATCGTGTGCCGTGCGCGTTCCTCCGGGCCTCACGCCTCCGGACGCCTCCTCTGCGTCCGCGTCGAGCCTGCCTCGGCTTCAGGAGCCGTCGCGTAACCTAGGCGCCTCTAGGACGGCGTCTAGCCCACGTACCGATGGTCCTTCCGCCGAAACGGCCTCCCCGCGCTGCCTCACGCTCGCGGCGAGTCGCGCCGCCCGTCCGGGCCTCGCGAGCTCGCGCAGCGAGCCGCCGAGGCAGCCGAGTAGCAGCCGAGTGGAGACGCCACGCGGACCCCAGCAAACAGAGGAAAGAGAGAGAGACCCAAACCCAGTTGTCATTTTTTTTAAATGGCGACCCCCTACCCAAAAAGTCAGTCGGCCTCGTCCGCGTCCTCCTCGTCCTCCTTCTCCTTCATCTTCTTGTCCGAGACGAGCTCCTTCCACTCCTTGTCCCAGCCGAGGACGTTGTCCTGCTTGTCCAGCGTGATGACGAGGCGCTTCTTCGTCTTCTTCCAGGCGAGCTTGGCGATCTTGCCCCGGAGCCGCGTGAGCACGAGAGCGTGCGGCGCGCCGTCGTAGGCCACGAGGGCCTTGAGGCTCGTCGGCGACGTGAGCTCGACGGACACGTCCTCGGCGGCGATGGTCGCAAAGTTCCAGCCGCTGGGCTCGACGCAGATCTTGATCTGGTCGTCGGTCTGGCTCCAGCTGTACTGCGAGATCCGCTTGATCTCGGCCGCGGCCTTGGCGGGCGACGTCGCCACGGGCGCGCGCGGCGACGACGCGCCCTCGGCCGCCGGCGCCTCGTCGAGGGGCCGCTTCGTCGCCGGGTCGAGGCGCCGCGGCCCGTTCATCGTGTACGTCGCGGCGTCGAGCCCGTCGCTCGGACGCGTGTGGTGGCCGTAGTAGTAGCTGTTCGTGCCCTTCTTCTGCGACTCCTGCCAGGGCTTCTCCACGGACTTGCGCCGCCGGAACGCCGCCGACGCCTCCGCGTCGGCCTTCCGGCGCGCGCGCCGCCGCAGCGCGTAGGCGCCGGCGGCGACGGCGGCGCCCGTCGCCGCCAGCGCCGCGACGCCGTAGGCGCCGCCGACCATGTCCGACATGCGCGCGGCGAGGACGCGCGCGCGCTGCGACGACGACGAATGTGTCGGTGCGACGACGCGACCGCGCACGCGCGCACGACGCGGCGCTGAGGCTGAAACCGGTCTCCCCAGCGACGCGTCGAGGCGACGATCGGCTTCGACAGCCGAAGCGCGCCGCCGGACGCGTCGCACTAGTCACGGAAGAGTACACGAGGAGTAAGTCGGCGCGAGGGGCTTCAGCAGGGGGATATACAGAGGTGCAGGGACATCAGGTCGAACCTTTCTTCGACGGCTTGGGCTTCTTCTTCTTCTTCGGCTTGGGCGTCTCCGCCTTGGGCGCGACGGGGCTCCCCGCGCCGTCCGTCAGCGGCGGGTACGCCTCCATGTTCGACGTGAAGAAGGCGAAGGGGCCGTCCGTGGAGCAGTCGACGTTGCTGTCGTCCCGGGCGCCGTCGGACACGGGCGAGAGGAAGCCGCCGCAGAAGACCTGGGGGTCCGGCGACACGGGCGTGAGGTGTTTGTACGGGTCCTCGGCCGCGTCGACGACGAACCTGGGCAGCAAAAGGGTGATTCAACGTCGCTTCAACGTGAGTGTTCCGCGCGCGCGCGTTCCGGAAAAAGCAACCACGCTTCGAGACCGTTCCGAGAGATGATCGCTCGTCCAAGAATTAGCCGAAACGAGTGGAAATGGCCGAGAAAGGAGCCTTTGAAGTTGGGAATTTCGCTCTCTTTTGCTGCCCTGCGACAAACTCGGGGATGACCTTCTCCCGCACGAGGTCGCCGAGCTGGGTCGACGCGCTCTCGAGCCCCGTCTCGAGGCCGCTCACCGCCGCCCCGGCCTCCCCCTCGAGCTCCTCGACCTCCTCCGCGACCTTGTCGGAGACGGCGCCCAGTTCGATCGTCGTCGAGTCCTTGGCCTCCTCGTCGCCGCCGAACCAGCCCTTGGCCTTCTTGCGCCAGCCCTTGCCGAAGCGGGCCTTGGAGACGCGGTCGGCCTTCGCCGGCGGCGGCGCCTCCTCCTCGTCCGACTCCTCCTCGCCGTCGAGGTCGTAGTCGACGGCGGGCCGCTGGTACTTCGCCGTCGACTGGATGAAGTTCAGCATGAACAGGAACGTGGGCCACTGGCACGACGCGTCGTCGACGTCCTTGACGCCGCAGGCCAGCGCGACGAAGCGGTCCAGGCGCGCCTTCGACGGCCTCCGCCGGCCCTCGGGCGCGAGGTTCGTCTCGAAGGCCCCGACGACATACTGGAGGAAGGGCCGCATGGTGAACCAGCGCAGGCCCGCGTTCGCCTCGTGCTGCTTCGTCGTGTGGATCTTGTACTCGACGAGCTTCGCCTTGACCTGCTCCTCCGCGAGGCGCCGGTAGAGGTCGTACAGATGGTCGATGACCTCGTAGGAGATGGGCTCCTGGTCGAACAGATCCGCGGCCTTGTTCACGGCCTTCTGGCCGATGGCGAGCTGGACGTACTCCTCCTTGATCTCCTCCGTCGACTCCGCGAACGCGATCGTCGTGATGCCGATGATCACCGTCGGCAGCATCCACGCGCCGATGAGGATGAGGCTGCAGAAGTAGAAGGCGCTGACCCAGCCGAAGGCGCGCGAGTTGCGGCAGGGCACGTCGTTGAAGGGGTAGCCGAAGCGGCTGCAGCCGTACATGTTCACGTACATGATCACGTCCCAGCCGTCCATCGTGCACACGGCCCAGACCGCCGCGACGGCCTGGGCCAGGTTCCCGAAGTGGCCCGGGTCGTTGACGCGGAAGACGAGCATGCCGATGACGGCGTAGACGTAGACCACGAGCGCCAGCACGACCGTCGCGTAGAAGACGTTCGACGACGCCTTGAGCAGCGACGACACGGCGACGTGCAGCGCGGGGTAGAAGTTCACGAGCTTCAGCAAGCGTAGGAGCCGCAGCATGGCCACGCCCGGCAGCAGCTTGGACGCGTGGGGGATCATGCCCAGCACGGAGATGATCAAGATCAGAAAATCGAAGACGTTGCCCCCGTCGGCGAAGTAGCGGTACGGCGCGCGGCCGCACGCCAAAATCTTCAGCACCGCCTCGAAGAGGAACACGGCCAGGATCGCCGCCTCGCAGGACCGGAGCGCCGCGTCGTGCACGGGCTCGGAAGGCGTCACGCTCAGCGCCTCGACGACGCCGGCCGCGACGATGCAGAAGATGACCATGACGGGGAAGAGCTTGCTCTGGCAGACGGCGCGGGCCAGCGACACGGGCACGCGCATGGACCCCAGGGTGTTGTCGTCGTCGTTGACGAAGCGGTTCCGCTCCACCTTGGACGTCAGCAGCAGGTCCAGGGTCTCGGCGAACGTCTCGCGCTCGTCGCCCGCGATGAGATTCTCCGCGACGTGGAGCGCCGTCTTCGGGTGCGGGTGGGGCAGCGGCTGGCCCATACCGTGGGGCAGGTGGAAGGCGTTGAACTCGAGGTGCGCGTGCGCGACGCTGTGGAGCGCGCCCTTGACCGCGCCCCCTAAAAGCGACGTCCGCCGGCCCGCGGTCTCCGCGACGGTCGCCGCCCGTTCGTGCACGGCTTCGCGGTCCGCCTTGCGGTGGCCGGCGACGTAGTCCGGCGACACGCCGAGGCCCGCGGCCGCGGCGATGGACGCGCGCTGCCGGCGCCGCTTCCGCGCCGCGTCGTCGTCGTCGCCGCCGCCGCCGCGGTCGCGCGCGGCGATCTTCGAGCTGTCGACGATGGGCGGCGGCTCGTGGTTCGGGTCCGCCTCGATGTGGTCCTCGTGGGCCTCGACCTGGTCCGCGTACAGGATGTCGAACATGGCCATGTCGATGGCCGAGATGAAGAGGTTCAGGACCACGAACGCCGTGAGCATCGTGTAGGAGTAGAAGAAGAGGATCGCGTCCAGCTTCCGCGGCGTCGGGTCGTGGCAGTCGTAGTTGTAGAAGCGGCCGACCATGGTCTCGAACTGGGTGAGGCGGTCCGCGCGCTCGTAGCCCCAGTCGCCGCCGCCCTTGTCGCAGCCCTTGTAGTTGATCTGGAGCATGTGGCTCCAGTCGCTGCACGTCGACGCGACGAAGAGCGTGAGCATGGCGATGGGCACGGTGCCGAAGTGGGCCGGGTCGTTCTCGCCGAAGGACTTGACGCCGATGATCGCGTAGAGGAACATGATGAGGCCGAGGAGCACGACGATCGACGCCATGGCCTTGAAGCCCGCGATGATGCCGTAGAGCACGCGCCGCGTCTCCGCGGACCGGTTCAGGAGCTTGATGAGGCGCGCGAGGCGCAGCACCGGCAGGATGGCCTCGCCCGCGCCGTGCGCGCCCATCAGCGCGAACGACAGGACGACGATCGACGAGTCGAACGTGTTGATCGAGCTCTCGGGCCCCGTCCAGTACCGCAGGGGCCGCGACCCCTCCGCCAGGATCTTCACGCCCATCTCCGCGGCGAAGACGACCATGGAGCAGGTCTTCACGAACCGGACGAAGAAGCCCAGGCCCGCGCGGTGCGGGTGGCCGAGGTCCGGCGAGTCGATGATGTGCATCGTGAACGCGACGGCGACGAGGCCGATGGTGCCGTTGACGAGGTTGTCGAACTGGGGGTTCCGCGCCAGGCGCACGAAGGCCGCGCAGACCGACGCCCAGCAGCCCGGCAGCGGCAGCGAGCAGACGCCCTCCGCGTAGGGCACGAGGTAGAAGGATGAGTGATCTTCGTCGAACCACGTGTAGTCCGCGTTCTCGCCGTCGTTGATGTCCAGATCGCCGAAGACCTCGTCCTCGTGCTGGTAGAGCAGCTCGAACTGGTCCACGCGCTCCGCGCCCACGAGGAAGTCCTCGGCGCCCTCGGCCTCGCGCCTACGAGTATGTATTCAGGTTGCGTTTCGGCGCAATGGGCGCACTTCTCCTCCTCCTTCCGCTTCTCCTCGCGGTCCTTCTTCTGCTTCAGCAGGATCGCCGTCGCCGTCATGGTGCCGCCCCGGCGCACACCACGACCCGCGCGCACCAGAGGCTGCCGCTGCCAAAGCTGCCCCGACGAAGTTTCGACCGTACTGCACGCTGAGACGTTGAAGCCGACCGACCAAACCTCGCTCATCGACATCAGAAATTGCCAAAGCACCCGACGCGTCGACGCTCACTCGCAGCATTTACTGAAAACGATGCAGGCTCGCCGCGGCGTCCCGGAACCGCCCGCGGGCCTTCGCCGCGCGCGCGCCGCGCGCCGCCGCCGCCGGGCCGCGTCGGACGCGCGGGCGCGCGCGCTTCGCCTCGCCGGGCCCCGCTTTTCGATCGAGTTTCGATCGGGCAGCTCTCCGTCGCTCAACCCGCGGCGCACCCGCCCCCGCCGCGCGCGCGACGCCGGACGCGCCGCCGACCGCGCCGCGTCGCGTCACCGCCGCCGCCCCCCGCAGATCTTCGTGAAAACCCTGACGGGCAAGACGATCACGCTCGACGTCGAGCCGAGCGACACGATCGACAACGTGAAGCAGAAGATCCAGGACAAGGAGGGCATCCCCCCTGACCAGCAGCGATTGATCTTCGCGGGGAAGCAGCTCGAGGACGGCCGGACCCTCAGCGACTACAACATCCAGAAGGAGTCGACGCTCCACCTCGTGCTCCGGCTCCGCGGCGGCGTGCGCATCAACCTGTGCTGGATGACGGCGGGCAACTGGAACAGCGAGCACATCCGCGAGGGCTGCACGGAGGGCATCATCCCCGGCACGGGCTACATCAAGTTCCAGGTCGACGTCGACCTCAAGAGCACGAACGTCGCGGAGCTCAAGAAGATCGCGACGGCGTCGGGCTCCCTGCCCCCGCTCCACTACCCCGTCGGCTTCGCCTTCCACGGCAAGTACATCATGGACGAGGAGGGCGCGACGCTCAAGAAGTATTCGGTGAAACGGGGCGACGTCGTCTTCATGGACGTCCGGCGCGAACCCTTCGAGCTCCAGAAGACGGGGCCGCCGACCTTCGGCGCGGCGGAGGAGGAGGAGGAGGACGACGACGACGCCAAGGAGTAGGCGGCCCGGAGGCGGCTTGTCGCACGTCGGGGCCGCGCGTTCTACGGAACGCGCGGGCCCGGCGCGCGGGGCCGCCGCCGCTCGCTCTCGCTCGACCAAAAAATAACCACCATGACTCTGTTAGAAAAAAAAAAACGGGGATGTTCACGCCGCAGCCCCCGCGCGAGGGGCGGGCCCCGCCACGACCCCCCTGCGACGACGCCGCGATCGTCCGTCCCGGCGAGTGAAGGACGCCGCGTCACGGTTCCGAGAAACGTGTTCAAAAGTCCGAGGTGCACCATGAAGGAAAAGCTTGACCTAAAACTTCCAAGAAGCGGGCCGGGGCTGCCACCAACAGGGATGGCAGAGCCCGTCGTCGAGTACGACACCTACGGGCCCCCGCGCACGTCGGCCTTCGCGTCGTCGAACCCGGGCCTCAGCGGCTGGCTCTACAAGTCGAGCGGCGGCAAGCGGACCATCCTCGTGAAGTTCGACAGGCGCTGGTTCGTCCTCGACGGCGCCGTCCTGCGCTACTACGCGAGCGACTCGCTGGAGACGGAGAAGGGCGCCATCCCCCTCGGCGACGTCGTCGAGGTCAAGACCCTGGTGCAGGGCAGCGCGACCTTCGGGACCTTCCCGCCCGCGGAATGCCGCTTCGAGCTCGTGACGTCCGCGAGGAACTGGGTCCTCGCGGTGGACCCCAAGGAGGACATCAACGCCCTGAAGAAGACCTGGGTCGACGGCATCTCCGCGGCGACGGGCCTCGTGCCGCGGCGGTCCGGCCTGAGCTTCTACGCGGCGTCCGCGGGCCGCGACGCCGCGCGGCGCGGCGCGCACAGCGGCTTCCTGTGGATGCGCAAGGCGAACAAGAAGCTCGGCTGGAAGGAGCGGCTCGTGGCGCTCGACGGCGACGTCCTGCGCGTCTTCAAGGAGCAGCGCGGCGCGCGTCCGGCGTCCTCGGCGTCGCGACGCCTCGCGAACCCCCCGCCGCGTCAGGCATCTGCGTCGCGGAGATCGGCCCCCTCGCGGGCTGCGTCGTCGAGCGCGTGTCCGCCTCGGGCCGCTGGACGACGAAGAAGACCTTCCTGCGCTTCCTCGTCACGCTGGCCTCCGGCGAGACGCTGGAGCTCGCGCGCGGCCGCGCCGAATTCGACCGCCGGTTCGCGCGGTCCGGACCAAAGCTCTCGAGCTCGGTCAAATCGACGTCGATTCGGCTGCTTTTTGGACGAACCGATTGCTCGCGTCGAGTTCTCGAAGCACGGCCGAAGAGCTTGACACCGTCGCCTACGCTCATATGGAAGTCATGTTGAAGCATTCGAACAGGCGTGCGGCGCGGAGACGGCGCGCGACGAGTGGCTCGAGCGGCTGCAGGCCGCGAGCGAGGGCGCCGGCGAGGCCGCCGCGGGCGCGGCGGCGGCGGCGACCCCCCCGAAGGGCGACTACGGCGACCCGGCGTCCTGCGAGATCTTCAGCGAGCACGGCACGTTCGGCTTCCTGAAGTGCGCGCGCTGCGGCGTGCCGCGCGCGAGCCACTGGCGGTGCGAGCCGGCCGCCTGCCCCGGCCTGCCGCCCTGCGGCGCGAAGCGGTCCGGCTGGCTCCTCGTGCGGAAGCGCAAGGACGTCGTCGCGTCCGTCGTCGCGTCGAACTGGAAGCGGCGCTACGCGCGGCTCGCGGGCTCGGAGCTCCGATGGTATGCCACCTGTGGAAATAGCACACTTTCTCAAAACGCATCCTCAGGTACCACTCCGACGACGTCGCCGAGGCCGACGCGCGGCACGTCGTCGACGCGGAGACGCGGCTCTACGCGGCGGAGGACACGGGCGCGACGGTGTCCCAGGACGCCGAGGGCGTCGAGCAGTTCCTCGTCGTCGTCGCCGGCGGACAGCGGCTCACGCTCGCGGCGGAGTCCAAGGACGAGCGCGCGGGCTGGCTCGCGGCGCTCCTCGAGGCGACGACGTGGGCCTACGACGCGCGCGAGTGGCGCGCGGCGCGCGCCGAGGCGCGGTGCGCCGAGGACGCGGCCGCGACGGACGACGCGTTCGCGCTGCGCGCGCGCGCGCAGGCGGCGCCGCGGCCCGCGGTCGGCACCTTCGACGAGCGCGGCGCGGCGTCGCGGTTTTTGAAGCTCGCGCAGCGCCTCGAGGCGAGCGACGCCGACGGCCTGCGGGGCGCCGCGGCCCAGGTCGCGGCGCGCGTCTGCGCGACGTTGCGACGGACGACGGCGGCCGCGTGGGGTAGGCGCCGCGACGCGGCGTGCGGCGGCGCGCCCGTCTACCTGGGCCCGGACCCGGACCCGGACGCGCGGGCCCACGCGGCGCCCTGCGCGCGGTGCCTCGTCGCGCTGCTCCGGGAGCCCGCGTGCGCCTTGGCGCTCTGCGGCGACGGCGACCTCAGCGGCATGCTCGGCTGGCCCGACGGCGACGACGCGCCGCCGTCGGCGCCCGTGGCGCTTTTGTTGGATTGCGCGCTGCTGAGCTTCGCGCCGTCGTCGCTCGCGGCCTTCCCGTCGCCGGACGCGGCCGCGGCGGCCGCGGCGGCGGCGCGGACGCTCGTGGCGCTCGCGGGCCTGGCGGCGTCGGGCCGCGACGGCTTCGAGGCCGTCGCCGCGGGGCTCCGGGCCCTGGGCGCCGACGACGCGGGCGAGCCCTTCGCCGCGCTGAAGCGGCGCCTCTACGACGCCGCCGCGGCCTTCGCGGCGCCCTCGAAGCGGTGCTCGCTCGCCGACGGCGGCGCGCCGCTCGACGCGGCGACGCGGCCGTCCTGGGGCTTCGCCTACGCCGCGGCGCTGGCCGACGTGCTCTGCGCGACGGTGGTCCACGGGTCGGCGCGCGGACCGGACCGGCGGCGGCGCCTGCGGCTGCGCTGCGAGCTCCGGGCCTGCGGCGTCGACGCCGCGTTGACGGAGCTGCGCGCGGCGTGCCGCCCCCACCTCGAGGGCGCGCCGCGGCGCCGGCCGCGCAAGGAGCCGTCGCCGACGAAGAAGCGGCGGTCCTTCAAGGCCTGGATGTCGAAGAAGGTCGGCGGGAGCGACGCGCCGGCCGCGGACGACGGCGACGACGACGACGGCGCCGAGGGCCTGTCGCGCGGCGCGGCCGCGCGGGCCGTCTTCGACCTCCTCGACGACGCCGACGCGCGCCTGCTCGACGACGAGGACGTCGAACGATTGCGGCTCGGCGCCGCGGCGACGTGCGCGGGCGACGCGCGCGCGCGACGCGGCGCGCTCCAGGGCAGGAAAAGAGAGCGAACTTCCCAACTTCAAAGGCTCCTAGCTCGGCCGTTTTCCACTCGTTTCGGCTGATCTTTGGACGAGCGATCATCTCTCGGAACGGCCTCGACGCGTGGATGATTTTTCCGGAACGCGCGCGCGCGGAACACTCACGTTGAAGCGACGTTGAATCTCTCTGTTCCCGCCCAGGCGCGCTCGAGGCGCTCGCGGCGAAACTGGACCGCGAGGGCGTCTTCGCGGCGTCGTCCGACGGCGCCAAGGGCTTGCTGCGGCTCCTGGGCGGCGGCCGGCCGTCGTCGGAGGACAGCGACGACGACGAGAACGACGCCGACGACCGCTCGGGCGCGCTAATGCGCCGCGTGTCGCGGAGGCGGCCGCGCGACGACGGCGGCGACGACGGCCTCTTGGAGCGGCCGCGCGCGTCGACGCTGCGGAGCCGCGCGGACACGACCCTCACGAACGCCGACGCCGCCGAGGCCGTCGCCGCGGCCCTGGGCGCGGCGACGAAGGCCGCGCGCGACGCCGAGGCCGAGGCGCCGCCGCCGCCGGGCGCGGCGGCGCCCGCGGCGCCGCCCGCGGCGCCGCCGGCGGTGCCCGCGGTGCTGCCGCCCGCGCCGCCGCCGCCCGCCGCCGCGCCGCCGCCGCCGCCGGAGCCGAAGGGCTTCACCGACGGCGAGGTCGCGGCGCTCCGCGCGGCGAAGAAGGGCGACGCCACGTACGGCAAGTACGTGCGCCTGCTGGAGATGAAGATGCCGGAGGCCATGCTCGCGCTGAAGATGAAGGCCGAGGGCCTCGACCCGGCGGTCCTGGGCATCGGCGCGGCCGCGTCGGCGCCGAAGCTCGCGCCGCGGCTCCGGGGCCCGCCGCCGCCGCCGCTCCGGGCCGTCGCGCGGAAGCTCAAGCCCCTCTGGTGGGAGCCCCTAGACACGGCCACGTACGCCCAGACCTGGTGGGCGTCGGCCGTCTTCGACGACGCGCGGCGGGCCGTCGAGGCGCACCTCGCGTCCCTCGAGGCCGCCTTCGCCGCGTCGTCGTCGCGCGTCGCGATCAAGGAGCCGAATTCGAAGCGCGCCGCCGACGAGCTGAGCGCCCTCGACGGCAAGCGCCACCAGAGCGTCGCCATCGGTCTACGGAAGCTCCGGGAGCGGAAGCTCGAGTCCGGCGCGGCCGTCGCCGCCGCGCTCGACGCGGAGACGCTGACCGAGGAGGACGTCGCGCTCGTCCGGCGCTGCGCGCTCCCCGAGGCCGCGGCGGCGGACGCGGCGGAGCTCGCGGCGCTCAAGGCTTTAAAACCGCAGGCGGACGCGGGCGCGGGCGCGCTCCGGGAAGGCGACGCGTGGGTGCTGGACGCGCGGACCGCGTGCCCGCGGCTCCGGCCGCGCCTCGCCGTCGCGGCGGCGAAGCTGTCCGCGCCGCTGCGACTGCTGGCCGCCGCGGAGCAGACGGACCGCCGCGCCTTCGCCGTGGAGGCCGTCCAGCACTCGGAGCCGCTCAAGGACGTGCTCAAGATCGCGCTCCTCGCGGGCAACGCGTGCAACCACGACGCGAAGGCGCGGCTGGCCGCGGGCGTCGGCGTCGCGGCGGGCCTGTCCAAGCTCGCGCTCGTCAAGGGCGGCAAGCCCTACAAGTCCTTGGTCCACTTCGTCGTCCAGTGCCTCGCCGACGACGACCCGCGCTACGGCGGCCACGTCGCGGCGCTGGAAACGTTGGGCGCTGTGTGGAAATCAACCACTGGTTTGGGGGGTCCCCACCAAACTTCAGAATTCTCTATCTCGAACAAATCGAAGTCGATTCGGCTGATTTTTGGACGAATCGATTGCTCTCATCGAGTTCTCGAAGCACAGCAGAAAACCTCGCGTCGAAACGGTCGCATACGCGCACATTGAAGTCGGGTTGAAGATTTGATTTCCACACAGGTTGGCCGCCGTCCTCGCCGACGTCGACCGCGACGACGCGGCGACGCTCGACGAGCTCTACGGCGATCTGGACGGCGACGCGTCGACGGCGCGGAGCGAGGCCGACGCGGCCGACGACGCGGCGCTGCGCTCGTGGGCGGCCTGGCTCGGCGACCGGCTCGCGGATCTCCGGGCCGCGCGGTCGGCCGCCGACGGCGCCGCGGCGGCCCTGATGCGGAGCTTCGGCGACGGCGGCGCGTTCGGCGAGGGCGACGCGCCGGCGCAGTGGTTCAAGGTGCTGCGGACCTGCCTCCAGGCGCTCCTCGCCGCCCGGGACGACCTCCTCGAGGAGCGCGCGCGCGAGGCGCGGCGCGAGGAGCGGGAGGTCAAGGAGGCCGCGCGGCGGCGCGCGCGGCACCGCCGCGACGAGGCCTTCGACGTCGACGACCTCTTCCCGCCGAAGCGGCCGACGCCCCTGCGGAGCGCCTTCGGGAACCAGCCGGGGTCGGACCTCCAGGCGGAGCTCGCGCGGAAGCTCGGCGCGCGCCGCGCGGGCATCGGCTCCGCGACGCCCAAGGGCCTCGGCGACGCCGCGGACCTCGCGGCGGACTTCGCCGACGTCCTCGACGGCGCCGGGGAGGGGGACGACGACGACGAGGATAGCGACTGGTAAGTTTTTTTACGCGTAGTTCTGGACGACGAGGATAGCGACTGGTAAGTTTTTACGCGTAGTTCTGGCCGCGCGTCCCGCTGATCGCGAAGCGCGCGGGAGTTTTACTACGCGTAGTTCTGGCCGCGCGTCCCGCTGATCGTGAAGCGCGCGGGAGTTTTACTACGCGTAGTTCTGGCCGCGCGTCCCGCTGATCGTGAAGCGCGCGGTCGACGACCGCGACCGCCGCGACCGCTCGCCGGGCGTCGGCGTCGACGCGCCGGTCGACGGGCAGCGGCGCATCTTCGTCTCCACGACGTTCCCGCGGCTCACGTCGGACGGGTGGCAGCGATAGCAGAGGAACGCGTCCGAGGCGACGAAGCCCGTGAAGCTAAACGCCATGCAGCCCTCGCACAGCCAGCGGTCGCACTCCGTGCAGCAGCGCCCCGTCCGCGCGATCGAACTGCACTCGTCGCAGGAGCGCGTGTCGGGCGTTCGCGGCAGGTCCTCGAGCGCGTGTCGCGGCGGCGGGAGGCGCACGAGCTGGAAGTCCGGCGCGAGCGAGTGGCCGCACCACGTGTAGCAGTTCTTCGCGAGGTAGGACTCCGTGCGCGGCGGCAGCGCCATGAGAGTGCTCGTGATGGCGTCGGAGGAGAGTTCTCGATGGTTTCGTTGCGACGCGAAGTTTTGTTGTGCGTGCACTCAGAGATGGTTTATGGCAGTGTTGTGTTGAGTTTTCATGGGGTTGTCAATGGTGTCGCGTCGCTGCGAGCCGGCGCCGGCGCGCGCAAGACGAGCGTTCTCGCGAGCCGGTGTTGAGCATGGGGGGGGTTGCTCCGGCAACGTCGGCAGTGTCGCGCGACGGCGGCGTCTAAAGTCAGGTTTTTTTGCATGCGCCGGGAGAGGTCCGGTGGCTACGCTCGCGTGATGCAAGCTCTTTCTAACTCGACGATCTCGGCACAATATCCTCGAAAAAGGACCGCCTACGTACGAATACGCGCGTATACGCGCCAGCCATGCGCTGCGTATAGGTGCAGAACGGTCGCTTTTTGTGGTCGGGGCGACGCCCCATGACCCCTGGCGTCGCCCTGGACGGTTGGTGAGTGCCGGAGACGCAGTTTCGGTGTCGGTCCAAAATCCACCCTACGGGCCTCGTTCGTCCACCGCGCTCCTACGGACAAATCCGGCACAGCCGATCTCGCCACCATCGATGGTGTTGGACGTGCCCCTTGGTTTCCTAGTCGACGGTACTATGAAGGTTCGATCGCGCTCAAGATCCTGACTTTCGAGTACAGCGTCGCTGCGCTAGAGGGGTCGGCCGGGGCGCCACTGCGGAGCAAACCCCCCCCTGTTGAGCAGATGTCGAGCGGCACCTTGTAGTGCCTTGCCGTCATCAGCTCGTCTGGCGAGCTGAGGCCGGCGTCGCGAGCGGCAGGAGTGCGCGCGGCCCGTCCGGCGCGACTCGCGAGGATGGCGCAGGACGATGCCGAGGCGCTGTCGAAGGCCAGGGACGGCCTGGAGAAGGCCTGCCGCGCCGAGGCCTACAACAAGATCATCAAGAAGGCCGACGAGGTGCTGAAGCTCGCCCCGCTCGACGGCGACGCCATCCAGGCCAAGGCCGTCGCCCTGGCCAAGAAGGACAAGTGCGCCGAGGCGCTGGCCGCGGCCAAGGACGGCGGCGAGGCGCTCCAGGGCCTGCGGGCCTACTGCCACTACCGCCTCGGCGACCTCGACGACGCGCTCGAGTGCTGCCGGTCCATGGGCGAGAAGGACGAGGGCACGTGCCACGTCGAGGCGCAGGTGCTCTACAAGCAGGGCGACTACGCCGGCGCCGCGGGCATCTACGAGGGCCTCCTCGGCGACGGCCGCGAGCGCGGCGACGCGGACCGCCGCGAGCTCGAGGCCAACTACTACGCGGCGTGCTGCCTCGCCAAGGAGGGCGCGCGCGCGTTGAACACGCTCGAGCCGCCGGCGCAGCCCGAGGAGCACTACGAGCTCGCCTACAACCGGGGCTGCTGCGAGGCCGCCGCCGGGGCCCACGCGACGGCGAAGGCGAGTTTGACGGCCGCGCACGCGGGTTGCGAGCGCGCGAACGAGGACGCGACGGCCTCCGAGCGGTGGGACGAGCTCGCGCCCTTCGCCGCGCAGCTCGCCCACGTCGAGCAGCTCCTCGGCGAGTCCGACGCCGCCGCGGAGCGCTGCAAGGCGCTCCTCAAGGAGAAGCCCGCGGACGCGGCCGTCTGCTGCGCCGCCGCGAACACGCTCGTCGCGGCGCGCGGCGGCGCGGCCGAGCTCTTCGACAGCCACAAGCGCCTGCGGCCCTACGCCTCGGGGGCTTTGCCCGTGCCGCCGCCCATGGAGGGCGCCTTCCGCCACAACTGGGCCGGCGTGCTCTGCGCGATGGGCAAGGTCGACGACGCCGAGAAGTTCCTCGCCGACAAGCCCTTCGCCGACGACGCCGCGGCCTGCGAGGCCGAGCTTCTGCTCGCCTTCACGCGCGCCGAGGGCGCGACCAAGGGCAAGGGCGCGAAGAAGAAGGCGGGCAAGAAGAAGAAGGACGACGACGACGGCGTCGACGTCGTCGCCGTCGTGCAGGCGTCGATGGCGAAGCTGTCCGCGACGGGCGTCGACTGCGCGCGCCTCGCCGTCGTGCTGGCGCAGGTGTTGGCCCAGAAGGAGCAGTACGCCGAGGCCGCGCGGGCCCTCGCGGACTCGTCCGTCGGGTCGACGCTCGACGGCTGCCTCGCGCGCGCCGACTACCTCGAGAAGGGCGGCCTCCTCGACGAGGCCAAGGCCGCGCTCGACGACGCGACCATCGCCGGCGCCGACGACGCCTTCGCCGTCGCCGCGACGCGGCTGCGCCTCCGGGACGTTTCGGGCGCCAAGGCGGCCTTGGCGGCCGTGCCCGAGGAGGGCAACGAGGCGCGGCTCTGCATCCTGGCCGCGTTCTACGACGCCGACGAGGCGGAGCGCCTCGCCGCGCTGCTCCCCGACGACCCGGCCATGGAGGAGGCCAAGGACGTCGACGCGCAGGCGCTCCTCGACGCGCCGGCGCCGCGGTCCAACCGGCCCCGCGACCGCGACCTCAAGTTCGCGCCGACGCAGCTCTCGCCCGAGGAGATCGAGGCCGCCGCGGAGCTCCGGCGCCAGGCGGCCCTCAAGCGCCGCGCGAAGAAGCGCGTCGCCTACCTCGCGAAGCTCGAGGCCGCGGGCAAGTACGACCCCAAGAACCCGCCGACGCCCGACCCGGAGCGGTGGATCCCGAAGAAGCAGCGGTCCTACAACCGGCGCGGCCGCAAGAACAAGGGCAAGTTCGTCGGCGCCCAGGGCGGCGACTCCAACGCCAAGGACGTCGCCAAGCTCGACGCCG